CCCGAGTGGCTTAACGTTTTATAGAGTGCAGCTTGGGGCGATTGTTCGGCCTAGTGCACCGATGGATCACAGCATATTCGACCAGGATACTGCACCCGCTTGCCTACCATTGTACCAGCACACCCCACCCACAGGACCCACCCAGCATGGAAGCACGGTATTCTTTTGACAGGTTAATCGGGATTCGATCTCGGGACATCCGCGCTGGGATGGAAACAGTGGCGGCAGACAAGTTCAACCGTGGGAACTCACAGCCACTGACAGCCCGCACTTTGGGTGTCGACGACCTTCCCAGGTCTCTGGTCGAGCTGGGAGAGAAAATCAAGCACTAGCCCGCGCAGATGGTGCAAGGCAGGGGGGAGGCGTGTCGTACACACAGAATCCCGTTCTGAGCCGGTAACTAACCCCGTAGCTCCGACATTGCATCCCATCTGCCAGGAACTTGGGGGCCTCGTCCGTAATCAATGCGGGGAGGGTGCTTCGTAGACCCAACCAGAGTATCTGGCCCGTCTGTCCGTCCGTCACCATGCATACCGACCCTGTTCGCTTCACAGCCGGCCGGACCCCTCTGCCGAGGAATTAGGGTACGGACAGCGTTGCAAAGCAAGTTGGTATGTGTGCATACATAACGGAGATCGGAGAGAAGCTGCTGCAACGAAAACAAGATATTGTCGCGACTGCCGGAGAGTGCGATCCGCTGACTGCCGTGGTTATCGTATCGCGTGGGTCCCGTGACCGTCGAAAAACGAGCCCTGCGCATCACTAGTCTCCCGGCATATGCATGACTAAACTTCTGTCTCAACACCACCTCGTCGTCGCGTTTCAATGTCGTCGCATCGCACCGGATGCAATCGCAGGGCACTTAGGCTTTGGAGGTGTCGGCGGCACGCGCATTATCTCTGAGCCGTTGACGCGCCGTGCAGTCATATTCGGAATGCCATGGCTGTACGCTGCGGTCTACCACGGGCGTCGCGCGCGACAGGATCTCGATCTCCTTCGCACTTGCAATTTGCATCAGTACTTGGAATGATCGAGTTTTCTCAACAGCGTGCTTTATTGTAGTCACGTGAGGCTACTTTTACACATATTCTCCTCCGTACTTGCGATTCGATGCCCAAATAGATTCGACGTAGCCCCGCTCCAGTGTTCGAAATTCCAAGCTGCTATACGCCAGCAATATCAAATACCGGCAATCTCCGTGTTCCCATCATTAATATGCTGCACTACCGCGAAACATAGCGACATCCGCACTGTTGAACATATCCTTGATACTGCGATCCTTCCCGATGCTTTTCTGCAATGTTGAAGTTTTATGGGAGCCCCAGAATTAGCGCCCAACGAAGATGCGATGAAATCCCCCGTTTCGTTCGTCAATGAGGGGTTGCAGGAGCGATTTGAGTCGTGCGTTGCGCCCAAACAAGCGAGGATCCGGGGCACATGGAGGCGGCTGTCCACTTCGTTATCGATGCGCTGAATACGCTTCACCTCGTCGCTAGTGCGTTGCTGGATGCCTGATTGCGAGGGACGCCGGCCGCTGAATTCGTTCTAGGACAGGGCCGCATCGAAAATGTAGTTTCTCCTGCCGCTGATCTACCTGATTCTGCAGCGATATTTTGAGATCCTGCGGATCTGCCAGAGCAGGATCATTCATGCTGACTGACGAGCTGTGCGATGTCGCCGACACGCTGAACCGGGCGGCAATCGCTGTGCGGGATCGCGTGGATTTACTTGAACGTCGCGGCCTGGCTGTGGGTCTGCTAGCAGCAGCCTGGCACGGAAGCGCACTGCAGCAAGCAACCTTCAAACAACAGAAGGCCGACGCACACAACACAAGTTCACGACTTTCGCGTACGGACTAGTTGAGCGACTCTCCCGTACGAAGCCTGGACCCGATCTCACACTGAAAGGGTCGCCAGTTCCAGTACATGCACGAGCCAACAGGACTCGCGGTGCAGCTAAGGTGCCGAACTACCCGCTCAGCCCGCGCGCTGTCTTGAGCGCGTCCTTGGCTCGTAGTCCAGGTGCGCCGAGCTGGTGGTGGACTCTGTCCCGCGATGCAGGTCGTGCAGACGAGATGTGTGCCAACCATGTTGGCTCTGTGTCAACTGCTAAGGCAAGCGTGCTAACCCTCTATCTAAGCATCTGAAGCGTACACTATGTGTACAAAATGATTGACTGATCAGTTTTTGATTGTCTTGGCTCACAGAGCTGATATTGCCCAAGGGTCAATTGAAATGAAATGCACCTTAAGAGTATTAGTTTCCATGTGTAGAATATCTAGAACTCCAGATTACAGTGTACTAAATGAAAATCTTGTCCATGTTCAAATGTGCCCACCCCTGCCTGGAATACTCCTGCTTGATGGCAGTGGGTGCTGAACTTTCACTATATATTTGAGAGGGTCCTACATGCTAGATGATATCAAAATCAGGACTCAAGGCTGGCCACAGAAGCAAAATGTTGTCTTTATTGTAAAACCAGTCATTGATAATTGGTAGTATATCTCTACAAATAATTTTGCAACAACTTCAGGGGTTCAGTGGAGTACTCTATAGGCCCAAGGCTACATTTTGTTCTTAGAGACCCTAAGATGATATGAGCTCTAAGAGCCTGGAAAGCCCATTTTCAATCAAAGAGAACTGATCAGTCAATCATTTTGTCCACTTACTGTACATCTACACGTCATCTGAGTCGACGGAAAAGGGCATCAACTGGTACGGCCACAACCCGCACCATCACGACTTGGTAAGGTGCCAGCCGGCGGTCAATAGCGCGGACGAGGAGCAGCACAGCCTCGAGTCCCGTGTCGCTGCTAGTTTCGGGAATTGGAGGGCCCGATGGGGATGGGGAGAGCAAGCGGCTAGCGGGGATGGAGAAGCTGTTGGGGCTGTTGGTGGAGCAGGCGGGAGCACGGGCTGAGGAGAGCGATCCAGGCCACGGCTCCCGCGGGGGCGCGGAAGCAGTCGGCACCCGCTGCTGATCTAGATTCCGACTCTTGTTGTCCGCAGCTGCTTGGCTTTTTACGCATCCTGTGGGGGCAACCCCTCTGAGTGATCTCATGCGGATTTGGGGCGTTTAGGATTTCGTGCCACCTGACTGCACCGTTCGGACATCGCCGAATCGGAGGTTGGCGATGAGCGACTTTCAGCACAAATGCATATATTGCCCAACTACGTACTTCAGATCAATGATTAATCGTCCCAGGCCGCCCAGGCAAAGGAGTGCGCACAACCCTCTGGATGCGCATCCGACTTGACGGGCCCAGCAAAACACAGCACAGGTGCCTTGATGTCCAGCTCGTCCTCCCAGTCCGTGACCTCCACAAGACCGCTCAGCCCTTCCTCCGAGTCGTTCTCCAGATCCTCATCGTCAAAGCGCATGATCGTGGATCCGAGCCTGTACGACTGAAACAGCCGCGCGCGAATCTGCACGATCTGGGAGAGACCCTCGATCCAGCCCTGCTCAAAGTGCTCTCGGATCTCAGCGTGTTTCGATGCGGACACGGATGCGGGGAGCGTCGTCGCAAACGAGCGCACGGCCGGCGGCGGGGGCAGCAGACGCACCTTCCGCGTGGCCACCGCCTCCGGGGTGTTCCTGAACCCCACGACGCGTGTTTCCCGCGGCGGGGACTGCCGCAGCGAGATGGTCGCGGTGCTGACGCCCTTCCGCCCCGGCCGCGCTGTCCGCCGGACGGCAGCGGGCTCGACCGCTACAGTCTCCAAGCGCGCCTGCCGTAGTTTCTTCTCTCGTTCCCGCATCCTTCGTACACCCGACAGCGCGAATCCCTTGCCCAGGACAGCCCAATCCTCCGAGTGGAAGTCGCCGCGCAGCAGAGTCGTCTTGTCCAGGATCAGGTGGGCCAGTCTCGGCAGCCGCGGAAAGATCGTCTCGGTCAGATCAGAGCCAAAGACATTGCATGTCGAGAGGTCAAGCAGCTCGACGGACGGCAGCGACCGGTAATGCGTAGTCAGCGGCCCGGCAACAGGCCTCGCTGGAATACGAAGACGGAATGATTTGAGAGTGGAAAGATACGCTGACCGCGCCAGATTCGCCAGATGCAGATCCAGACGGAAGAACACGATCGGCTGTGCGAAGGAGACCTTTGGCGCCTGAGAAGGATCCATGGGTTGCTGAATGATGGACAGAGTAGGGAGATTCGACGCTGGCCATTGCGCGAGGCATTCCAAGACAGGGTCGAAATACGAGCCCTGTCAGTGGCACGGTCAGATGGATGTCAAAATCCGCGTAGAAAGAGCCTACACTCAAAAACTGCTGATAAGTCGCTTTCTGGACGCTAGAAAGACGACGGTATCAGATAGCCATAGGAAGAGAGAGAGAGGCCAGCGCACTATGGCCTGAAGATCAGGGAGAGGTTGGTCAGCTCCGGTCGAGGCCTTGACGATCCAGTCAGCACCATACTCGATCTGCATCAGTCTAAACACCTACCTTTCGAGCACGCTCCTCAGATGCTCGGGAGAGAAGTTCGTACCGATGCACAGCACAAGCGAGCGCAGCCGCGGCAGCTTGCTGAGGATATTCAGCACGATCTCTGCATCCACGGTCCACTGGTCCTCGAGGCGGAACTCCTCCACGTGTCCGGCGACCCTTGCCCCGTCCGGCTTGAGCAGCCGCAGCGTGAACAGTACAGCCTGTTCTGCACGCGTGAACACGATGCGCTCGAACAGCGGCTTGATGGAGATGGGGTGGTGGGGGAGCGCTCGCGTTAGAGCTAGGAGAGACTGCCGGTCGTCTTGCGGGATTTGTTCGGCAATCGAAGCATAGAGTTCCACGGGAAGAGTTATCGCAGGCATAGATCGATACGAAGCGCAGATGGCGTCCGTTGCTGACAGAACATATAAACTGAAGGTCGAGGTTCTGGGATGACGTCGAGGACGAAGGAGAGCTCGGCTAACGCCATAGTCTGCTGAGTAACGCCAATCGAATGACTCTGAGACAGCAAGCCACGTGACCGATCGAGAGGCATGAGATGATAATTTCCAGTTGGACGCGCGAGAGACGGATTCATGACCGCAGGACTAGATTATGAATTTTATTGGCATATCCTACAACAATGCATGGAATAGTAAGGAACATATGTACACTATGGCTGTCAATCTACACAACCGCTCCATGAGAAGCCGTATCTGGTAGATTATTCAGATTTACCCTTCCCTCGTCGATCCATGCCTTCTTCACCAGCTTCTTCCTGTCTGACCAGTACAACCGATACACAACCTTGATCGTGTTCTCTCCGGCCTTGGTCACCTCAGCAATCTCACGGATCGATTTGTTCTTGCCCATAAGAGCGCACGTGAAATACAGTGCGCCGCTCGCGATGGACAGCGGACTCCTGCCCTCTGCAATGCCGTACTTGCGTGCGGTGACGATGATGTCCGAACAGACCGATTGCACGTTCGGCGGCAGGTCCAGATGATTGCAGTACCGCGCTAGCAGCGTCTCCGCGCCAGCCTGTGTCGTCGACGTCGTGGACCCGTTGTTCAAGTCCAGAGTCTTTTGGATCGCTTTGCAGCACTGCCCTAGCAGCTTCTTCGACACCTTGGTCATCTCGCAGATCTCACGAAATGCGCGAGACACACGGGCTTGCCGACAGGCGAGGAATATGCATGCGGCGACGACGGCATCCACCGGTTTCCCGCGCAACAGCTTCTCGTCATCAGAGCGCTTGTATAGCTGCTTGGCGATGTCGCTGATGGTTTTGGGGAGCGAGAACTGGTCGCACCAGGTGGCAATTTGCCGGAATGCGGTGAGCACGCTGCGCTCCGAGCGAGCACTCTGGGCACGCGAAGCCGCCCGCTGCAGCTCCTTCGCCAGACCCGACCCGCCGTCCCGAAAACTGACCATCGTGTCCAGATCTTCGCCGAGCAGCGGATCCGATGCGGCACCCACACGCGACGGGTCGTCACCCTCGTCGTTCGCGAAGGTCTATCGGGGAGAAGCGTGGTGAGTAACGGCAGACGGACGCACCGCCGCCTTTGCAAAAGAATGGGTACGTACCCGCCATTCACTCCGGGTATCCACAATCCTGTCACCCAGCACCAATCCACACGACGCGCACACCAAATCTCCGCTGCTGAACTCTTCGGCAATTTGGGGGTTCGGGTCTTTGCAGTCGGGGCAGATGAGCCGAACGTTCAGGTCCGGCCGGAACGTGGGAGGTAGTTCCTGCTGGCCAGGCTGCTTTGCGAGAGGGAAGGGTTGCGAATAAGCCATGGATGGTAAGTGGCTTCAGGAAGAATGCGAAAGTGAAGCAGTTTTTCGTGAGGGGGTGAAACCGAACTGAGGATTCCAAGTCGTTTAGGGAGAGCAGACAGCCCGAGGGATATTTCGACGTCTCTTCTCTTCTGGGTATCTGAATTGCTGGTCCGACCTTCCGACGTGGATGACGGAGGGGAGCAAGGATGAAGAACAGGACAAGGGCCCGAGCTTGTGGCTATGTCTCAATTTGTCAGCTCTGTTTGCACAATCATGCACCAGCATGCACCGCCACGGGTCGACTCATCTCTCTGACTCTTGGCCTTTTGCCGTGGAGATCAGAGGGTGATGTCGGTTCTACGAACGACCGATGACCGCATTGCGAAAACTTATTTAAATCCATATCTTGTCACAATTGGCATGAACGCTTGTCCTGTTCTGTTGCTGGAGATGAAGCGCTGCGAGTAGAATTCTGAGTCATTCTGAGTCAATTTTAGTCAGCATTCGAATATGTATGGATGACAAAGGCCAAGTGCGTTGCAACTTCCGCTTGTTTGAAATGCTCATGACTTGTTGTGATCTGAATACCAGCGTATGATTGTGACTTTATGTGACATTTCGCGTCTGTGATGTAGGCAAGCACGGATTACGAGATGTAGTGTACTGCGTATAGTTTAATTAGATGCGAATTATTAATAACTTTAAGGATGAGCAATCGCTCTTGTTTCGATTCAGTGCACGAAAATGCCATCAATCACCGACTGGTATATCTCCTCCACTGCCTTGCGCCGGATGTTGCCTTTGGTGACGGTGCGCGGCAGAGAGCCCTTGGGGACGACAACGATCATAGCTGTCGAGGTGATACGTTCATGTAAGTAGCGGCGAGCGTGGAACTGCCTTGTCTTTCGGATGATGTCCCGCTTGAGCTTCTCCTGGTCCACAGCCTCCGAGCCGGGTTCGACAAACAGCACGGGACTCGGTCTGGCAGAGCCCACGACGATGCATTCAGAGATTAGATTGCCGCACGAGGCACGGGCGTTCTCCTCGATGGCCTTCGTGTTGCACCGCAGACTGCTCTCCATCTTGATCCAGTCGTCATCGCGGCCTTGCGAGAGATACCGTCCCGGCGCGGCTTCGATGAACAGATCCCCGGTGTGGAAGTTCCCGTCAGATTGTCGCAGCGAGGGGTGGGGGCAGTCGCCCGACTGTGCGAGGACAACCAGCTCGAGGATGCGGGTAGTCGAGACGTGCGGACCGGCGTTGCCGGTTTCGATGGGAACAAAATCGTAGGCTACATCTTCAGCCGGATACAAAAGGTTGGCCTCGGGACCACAGCCTCCGCTTGAGATGAGTAGTGCACCAACTTCGGTGGACCCAAAGACATTCTGGGTACCAAGATGAGAATGAGAAACCCTTGCGGGGGGAAATGAACACTCACTCTGAGTTTGATACTTTGGCTGAGCGCCCAAGCTTCTTCCTCACGGGGCAACGGCAATCCGGTGTACATCAGCTCGTCCAGAGCGGTCAGTGCTTTGAGAACTCGGGCGTCTTCACGCGAGGTGCGCAGATGTGTGGCCGCAAAAGATCCAAAGATATTCAGTCTGTTGAGCCCCTGATCCTGAATCATATCCACCAATTCGGAAGGTGAGAATGGAGTCGTCAGGGGCTGCACGATACAAGCATTATGCTGAAGATATCCAATGAACACTGGAAAGTCAAAGTCAGACGATGAATGGAGACCGGCGCAAACAAACTCACGGAAGTTCTGGAATATGTGGCACATGCTTCCTCTGTAGGCGATCAGCGCATGTTCTTGGAGCAGTATGGAAATTCCCACCCCCAGCTAGCGACGTCGAATCGAGCAGCAGTCTCCCGCTTGGGGGCACAGATCTGCGCGGATTTGCGGATGGTCGATTCCATCCATCGGTACGTGCAGGGGACTAGTTTCGGCGAGCCAGAGGTGGAGCCACTAGTGTGGAAGTAGAAAGCGATGGCCTCTTCCTGCGCCTCAGGAAGTGAAGGCAAATCTACAGCAGAGCTTCCACTCGCAACAAGCTCTGCGGCCCGGTAGATAGGGATAGGCCAGGTGCCGAGCGCAGACTCGAACAAATCCTCGTAGATGAGCGCCTGAGCACCGGTCTTGACAAGCAGCTCCAGAATCACATCGGCACTGGGGAGTCGCAGGCTGAACAGTTGGGGAATGAAACCTGCGCGCGAGAGACCGTAGATGTTAACCACGTCCTTGTAATCATATCCACTGATCCTGTAGAGGAAATGAGCCTTCGATCTGCAGCTGAGAACACGGCTACGCACCAAAGCCCGACGACCGACCCAGCGGGAATCCGGTCTCGACGGAAAATGCGCAGGAAATGACCGGCTGTCTCCTGGATATCCTGTAGTAGCTGTGCATAGCTTATGTCCCGCCAGATAGGATTGGACGTTCCCTCCGATCGACGAGGGACCTTGAAGGCAACGGCAGCCGGGAAACGGCGCGCACTGCACTCGAGGATGCTGAGATGTGTTGTGGTCATGGCAGTGGGTGGTGGTTTTCGGGTTCGACCTGGAAGATCTGGGACAGCATTTATACTTGCACAAGAACATTTTCTTAAAAGGCCGGGGCTGTAAGATGGTAGACGTGTGACGCTGTATTGCCTCGTAGGGAGCCAGATCCCGGTGAAACGTCGATAAACAGGAACAGATGAATGCGCCAGCCAGTCGGCAACAGATGCGTAGCTATCATCTTGCTAGCTTTGGATACGTAAACCTGTAAACGCAATTAAGAGCCTTGATTGACTCGAAAAGCGATGCTAGGCTGCAGTGGAGGACATACATTTCTGCGCTTAGATCAATGATTGCTCATGTCACAAATGCGACATGTACGGAGACGAGGCTGACTCGGTCAGCACTACGCGCAAACATAGGAAGATTTGCGCTGAGTAACTCGGTCTATACCAGTTTGGAGATACGGAGGGATTTTCGACCGACGCACCGTCTGTTCGAAAGCCAACTGCTGGAGCCTAATTATGCATCCAACGGAGGATTCTTGCGGACGTGTGTGTGTGACACGAGATCCTTGGGCCAAGCATGCTCGCTTCCGCAAAGTCTCCACGGTGCCTCAACGGGAATGATTCGATGGTCTGGGTTGGTATGAGGTGGTGCTCGCCCGCTGGGCCGTCGCTGGGCAACGTGTCCAGGACCAAGAAATCAGCACCGCCACACGACGACACATCTTACCACGTGCCAATCTTCCGATCCCGATCTCCCCGTTTCTCATTTTCTTCGACTGATACTATGTACTGCGTTCCGCAGGCACAAACCGGCGCACAAAAATCCGAGCGCGCGATCTAAGGATCTGATTTTCCAGACGGCGTCGAATCGCACCCCGAGCCGACTTGAGACGGCCTCGTGTGTGAGATGCAGATTAGAGTCCTGCGTTTGCAAATCGCACATTCAACTCCGAATCGGATCCCGAGCCCGTTCCCGAGTCCGGAGCCGAATGGGACCTCGTCGAGTCATCCCCGGGGCACCGGTCTGTGCAACGAACTCCGCGCGCGCCCCACCGACGACGGTCACAGTCAGCCGAATCTTTCGAGTCGACATGGGACCCAAACATGATTTTTTGACGCATATACGCGGCTCTACCCATCTCCCAAGTTACCGCCCTGGAGTGATAGACAATCGCGCGCGATGAAACAATCTAGCGCCTGAAGCGCTATGTGCGTCACGGAGACCAGAGGTACCCAGCCCTGGCCCCTCCGCTCGGACGTTCCCGGCCGATCTTTTTCTTCCCGCTTGCTTCTCACATTGAACCCGCATCAAAGCCGTGATCTTTTGATCGCGATGCGCAGACCCGCGTCCGTGGAGCACAGGAGGTTTCTAAGGCCCGACGCTAAATTTAGCCAGCCCGTCTTGACGATTGGCGCGGCCTGAAAGGCACACAGAGACTGAGGGCCTCGCAGTTCCAGTTTTGATGTTTGAATCACAGTGTCAGAATCAAACGGCACCGACTTCCCGGGGTGTCGTCCCGACATCCGGAGATCACCAAGCCGAGTCATCTATAGATGTCCCGGGAGAGGACCGCGCGAGCGCGGATGCAGAATACAGTCCTAAGCCGAGGGGCGGCCATAGAAATAGGATAAATGAAGGCGGGGGCCAGTGACCCAGTCAGTCTCACTCAGCAGTAAACGCGGAGTGGAACTCAATCAGTGGGCAGATCGGCGCAACCAATCGGGCGCGCATCTCGACTCAACTCAGGGTGCGGCGCAGTTGGCAGATCTTCCTCAGCACCCTGGTGGCTGAGCTTGGGAGAATAAGTTATTCTTCTGGTCATCTATGCGCTGTTCGGGTTCTTGTCTTGTCTCGGCGCACAGAAGGGCTGGCCATATTCCCCAATAGAAAATTTAGGCAGTGTCCTCCCACCCCTAGCCGAGCGTATTCGAATAACTCGTCCCATCACCAAGTCTGACCATGCGGAAGCACTCTGGATATTATCACATGCAAATGAGTCTCTGACCCGTATGGACCAGGACGGAGCAGAGCCGAGATGGGGTCACTCGAAATACCGTTGCCTCCACTCTTTCCTCCGGAGTTGGTCCATTGTACTTGCGGACAACACATGAGCTTAGGCTTTAAAGTCACGATAATCACGTGAATGTGACGCGACGTGTAGCTTAACGTTCACATTTATTTGAGTGGGCGAGCCAGTATTCAAGCGGCCCAGTGAGAAATTGGGAAACTTTCATTCTATCCCTTTTTCAAGATCTCCACAAGGCTGCCCTGAATTACAACGCCGTCAAGTATAGTGCAGAGAAGCCGCCTTTGCATCGATAGAATCACAGCTCGTCTCTAGGTGCCTCGGCTTCTTCGGCGACCACTTTAGTGTCTGCATCTGCACCAGACGTCTTGCCCGAGCCAGCCAAGGCATTCGCATCCGCCGCCACAATACGAGACCGGATGACACCTTCCTCTGCCAGCTTGCTTGCGAAACGGGCGATCTCCGAGTCGTATACTTCCCATTCTGGGATCTGGCGCGCACGGACAAGTTTCGGTTCTTTCTGCAGAAGAGGGGGGAGGTATTAATATCATATCCGCACGTCGGGCCAAGTACGGATGCACTCACAGTCAGCGGATTCTGGCACAGATCGATCGTCTTGGCACGGTGCAGTCTGTCTTTGCTGCACCACGTCTCGCACTGAACAGGTGTTAGGCCGCAGAGCGGAGAATTCGCACGTGACTCACCCAGAGCCAATCTTCAGGCAACGAGAACTGGCGGACGCAAAGTTAGTAATCGACGCATCGGCCACTGAATGCCCGGGCTTACTATCGGAACCTCCCGCTGAAGGTTGTTGGGAAGATCTGATTCAGGTGAGCATGCAGTGACTGACGCAATTAAAAGGGACCGCGGCTAACCTTGATCCAGATTAGCCAGCGAGCCCGGGTCAGCAGACAGCTGCTGGTACGACCCCCGAAGCATGTCACCAGCGGCGAGCTGCCGGAAGCGGACAAGATCAATGACGTAGAGCGCACTGATGTGGTACGGCATCCCCTGCAGGAAATCCTTCCAGTATCCTGTCTTCCAGAACCGGAAACCCTCCATGTCGGTGTTGTCATCACCCATGGGCGTGTATCCGTAAGGGGCCCCGTGCAGATCCAAGTCAACGAGCTCTTTCAGGTCCGCGCGCACAATTTGATCGGCATCAACGAAGATGACCTTCTTGAGGTCCATCGGGAAAAGCACGTCGAGGAACAGGATCTTGTATGCCCAGATGATCCGTTGTTTCTCTTTCTGCGCACGAAGCCAGGACGGCCACTTGTAAGTCACGAGCTCATACTGGAAGTTGTACGCTTCCGCCATATGTGGAATGAATTCCTGTCCGCGAGGTTACCACCAACTATGACGTAGCTGAGTGCGCAAAGAATTGCTACTCACCAGGAACGACGGCGACAAGAAGTTTTCGATAAACCAGAACTTAACGGTGCTCTTGGTGTTGCGCAGCACACTGAGGATCATGATCGACACAAAACGCTTGTCACAGGTTCAGATCGAACAAGCACAGGGCACACGACATGACGCTCACTTCGTATAGCAGCCCGGAGGCTACCGTAAAGATGTTGATGTCAGCCTGCTTGGTCACAGGCACGACGTCCTTGGATGAGAAGATCGACTTGAAGAGCCCGCCGAAGATGGAACCCGACCGGTCTCCCTCGTTACTGGGTTCATCCAGCACGTCCTCGCGTTCCTTGCCCGGATACCTCTGCAGTCTCGGATAGATCGTCGTCCCTTCGAAGCTGGTCACCGCAATCTCGTCCCCCGCCTCGGACACAGCTCGGCTGTCCAGTCCTTCATTTCCGACGCTTTCCATGAAGAAGATCTCTCGACCCCGGCCTTGCTCGCGGATCTCGAGCCGGAAAACACCCGGCTTCGCTTTGAACTGCAGGTAGCCCAGGTTCGCGACCACTTGTGTGTCGTCCACAGGCGAGGAGTCGGCGTTTAGCAGCTGCAGCTGCACCCCGCGTGGCGGAGCGCCTGTCACCGAATCACGCGCATGGCCTTCGACCACGAGATAGTCGAGCGCAAAGTCGGCATCGACGCTGGGTTCCGATACGCTGCCGAGCTGGATGTTGTCCAGGTCGTACAGGGCTTCCCGGGGCCGAACAAGCCAGGAGGAGGGCACGTCCATCGCTAAGGTATAGATCGGCTCAACGGGGAGCTCTGAGAAGACTGCCTCCGTTGGCATTTGGACACTGCCGAAGTGGTGTAAGTACCACGCATGTCACGACAACGACCGGAACGTACCCGTCCGAATCGAATACGAGCGAAGGCAACAGAGCATATCGGTAGAATCGTTTGAGGGGGATCTGAACTATGTAAAGAACGACCGCACAGGTCTAAGTAGTTTCGCACACACCTCTTCATTGATCGAAGGATTAGTGTACACTTTGATGTATACATCCGGGATATGCGCAAGCCACTGGTGCCGATCCATCAGTCAGGGCGCGATCTCCAACAAAAGAAGAACCCACCTCGAGTAGACCGGCCCATTTTTGGGCAGTCTCGCTGATGGGATCTACCAGCACAGCAATCTGGTACAACGCTGTTGCGTTGTCACCGAACTGGAAAGTCGAGTATCGGTCATCCAGCAGCTGATAGCTGCGTTGTCTCGGACGTTTAGGAGGATCGAAGATCCCTCCGCCTCCGGGTTCTGGTGCCTCCAATGCGGCGACGATGGACACACAGGCAGATATCAGTGCAGCCGAGGTCGCACTAACAGTGATGATCAGAGCCGGATCCTGCAGCAATAGCAGACGAAGCGCTCACCGATCCAGTTCTCTGAGATCAGGCTTGATGGTCTCCAAAGCCACGATCACTGGCTCAGCTCGTTTCCGCAGCTCGAATGTCTCCAATGCTCTGAAATCGGCCGCGGAGAAGTCCTTGGAAGCAATAGGCCCAACAATCTTATGCCTCAGGTCAGTCTGAGATCTAAGCACCACGAGAAGGGCACGTACACGGCCGTTCACGATTACGATCTGTTGGCCTGGAGCAAGCTCAAGCTCTCGCAGAACTAAGCGTCCCCCATTCACCGACCGGACATACTCGTCCCAGGAGAAGTCAGCTCCGCTGGTGAGTTCGTCGGCAGTCTGAGTTCCGTCGCTCTGAATCACCAAGCCGGGCTCCAATGCCTGCAGAAGCTTGGCTGGGGTTGCCTTGGACAGCAAATTTTTCACGACGAGATGCGAAAGGAGCCAGGACTTTGGCGGCCTGACCGAAGGATCCAACTCGACTGTACTTGGATTGTGGATGAAGGAGAGTCGCATCTTGGAGTTCTCGTCCTGAGACACGCGGTCGCGTCAGTGCTGTGCCAGTTGCGAGGTGCCACGCTACTCACGAACGACTGCAGTGCCTCCTTGACCAGATCCAGTCCACCTTCGCTGTCCAGATCCGCGACGACATAGACGGTCAGCGGGAGCATTTCCGTCTCCGCTGCAAACCAGGTGAGTATCCCCAGTGCCTCATCTCGAGTGCACGCTTACCAGGATAAACAAAAGATCCAGGCAGGTCCTTGAACCCTGTGCGTCTGAACGTGTCGGGGAGGTTGAATATCCTGACCGCAGTCTCTGGGAAGATATATTTGTTTCTCCGGAGGCTGGTGGTGGGCTGGTCGTAGAAGTACGTCGAGATGTGCTGGGCGGTTTCCTCCGTGATCTTGCCGTTGTAAAGTTCCTCCTGCAAGTGCTGGGTCTGGGGTGCTATCTCCATCTGCATCCCTCGCCAGAATCCCTAGAGCGGCATGAATGAGCAAAGGGAACGCGCGCATCGAGTACGGCTCACTTCATCTACGTCGAGGTGCTTCCCATTGACGAAACTGTGTCCCTTGCTTGAAGCAGCGAGTGTTGCGCCAAGCCGCTCGGTATAGCTGCGCCCTTTGGCCACCACCATCGTTTCAGGGCTGTCCTCTGCGAGAACGGCATCAAAGTCCACAGGCTTCGCTGCCTCGGCGTCCTGGGGATCATTGAGCAGCAGTTCGGTCGAAAACGCAAATCTGATGGCATCCCAATCGAGCTTGCCGTCCGTGATCGAATTCATGACCTGCGCCAATTGAGAACAAGATTCGAGGCACGATGCATATACATACCGAGGTCAGAAAACTCATCGTCCGCTTCCGGCCATAGTTCTTAACACCATGGTAGAACAACTTGGCCATCTTCTTGCCGTCCTCTGTCTCGGTGATGGGCACGATGCCGAACCGCAGAGGGAAGCTGCGGCTGACGACGTTGGCCACCGCGCCCGTGATCATGTTGAGACTGGCCGGCGACGACAGATCCAGCACGAGCACGATGTTGAACATGTTCAGTTTGATCTGGTGGAACTGGCCAGGATACAGCGGGCGGAGAAGCTACTTGTTTTGCCGCGTCAGCGACGAAGGAAAGCAGCGGACGCAACGCACAGTCTGGATGTTCGCCGACCACCCCGCATACCGGCTGTCCTTCTCAAGGTCATTCCACCACACAATCACCTCGCCTCCCTCGGGGCGGTCGCTGGCATCGAAGAGATTGTCCATAACGGCGGCGCTTTCGCTGCTGCTCCCGGAAGGATGTGCGACCAGATCAATCGCCTCCATCCGCGACAGACCGAGGGCCGTTAGCGAAGTCAAAACCGTGCGCTCCTTTCTGACGAAGCGGAGCAAGCCGAGCGGATTGATGTCCTTCTCCGTGAGCGACGCTCCGTTGACCCAGAACGCATTGACACCCGCCTGGGCTTTGAGCTGGTTGGCGTGGACCTCCTCTTGGAGGCTCGAGTTGACGACAACCTTGCGTGAAAGCGGTACCATGTATTTGGGGAAGTTTTGAGCGAGCTGGCCCATCGTCACAAGCGGGTCGTCCGAATCCGCAATCAGTTGTGTGGCTTGGAAGCCGAGAGCTGGTGAAGGTTAGCGACAATCACTATTAGCTATTGGCACGACGGACCGGCCAAGGCTGCTGCAGTCATCTCGGTTGCAGGAGTCTCCGGCTCAGGGTAGGAGTCGATCAGAGCCATGACAGGATCGACAACGACAGCCTCTTCAGGAGTGTTCTCGCGAGCAGCGGAGCCTGACGATTGTTGCCTGTCATCCACAGCCAGATAGTCCATCTTCTTCAGGTCGAGAGCCACTCCATAGCCAGAAAGAAAGTTGCGCGAGCCAGTACTCGGTCCTGGAATCGGACGGAACACGTATTCCACTGGATGCACTGGTCTATCGGCCAGCGCATACAGATACGAGTGCAGTTCACGGAAGTTGGCGGAGTCGAGAGATGCGTAGAGAATAGCTGTGCGAGGAGGAGTGTCGAGCGTCCGCGCGGGCGGTGGATATACGTGGTCGAATGCCAACAGCTTCGGTCGCGTGAACCTGCAAAGCGTCAGGTCGCGGCAGCCGAGCTTTCGGCAACACTCACGTCGTGTCCGCGGACCCAATGGTGTCGACACCCGCAAGCTGGGTGAGCTGCGCGACGTCGCACACAGCCTGGCCGTACCAGTCCACCCACGATCCACATCCGGGATCCCGCTCGCGCGGATACGCGTTGTAGAACGCCTGCAGCTTCGGCGTCGCGGTGTGCAATCCGAGGTTCATCTCCACGAGGGCAAGTGCCCCGGGCGCGGAGAGGAATCCATTCGTCGCGGCTACCTGGAGTGCGTATTGGTGTACCGCCTCCTCGGGAAGCGGTGTCTTGGAGAGGGCGGCTGGGTCGGTGACGCGGTCGAGGAAGGGGAAGAAAGCGTCCGCATTTTCGGAGGCGACCGTTTCTCTGGGTGACTGGTGGGTTTGCGGCAGCGGAGAGGAGGGATGGAACGCACATTATTTCGAGCAGCAGTGGAGATGCTTCCCAAGAAGATTTTAGAGTCACTTTCACTGGTGGGCTCGCAGCAGCCACGGTCAAGGCGAAGGCCAGGACGAAGTGTGCCCCGGACTTCATCCTCAAAGTCCTATGCACAGCTGGATGGTAACTGGAAGCACTGACAATAAATGTATCAAGCGCTGAGTTTGGACGTGTTCGACACGTCGCGTCTAGGGCGATAGGGTTAGGGTCCCGTTTAGATAAGCCTCGTCAAGCACGTGCCAACTCTCGAGCGTCTCTTCAGGCCTCTTGTCCTTCCAGCCACCGCCTTTCAGTAGATTCAGGACCGCAGTCCATCTCAGTATGCCTATTTTATCGCAAAGGAGAGGATAAAATCTTTCTTATGATTTCCGAACATGCGGAGCTTCGAAGCGCGTTCGTCGCGGCGGCGGAAATCTCAAGTCTATCGCAATCTGGAGCGGAACCAAGTGTGCTGGCAGGCAACGATCGATACTCTGCGGCTAAATGAACCACGCTCCACAATGGATGTAGGGACTACTCTCAGTATGTCCCACCTATAGTGTACAGACACACGGTGGCGACTGAGGTGAGTCTGCCTCCCACTTGAGTGCATCCGTGTCAGCCACTCCGCTCCCTTCCTTTCTGCGTGCTGCAACTGCACGAACTCCAGATAACTCAACCCGCCGCATGCTTGAAGAAACTTCTCAGCAGAGTCAAGGTGCGTGTTGCTCAAAGTGCCTGAATCGACTGTCTCGCGTCCGCGCGACTCTCACCATGCATCGCAGTCGCCCTGCTTATTCCGCCTCTTGCCAGCCCCTCGTTGCCCTATACCACAGCGTCTACCCCCAGACGTCTCCAAAATATAGATTTATTGTACGCTCGTTTGATCCTGTCTGCCTTAGCGCGCGATCCGCATGCCATACGGCCTCATCGCTCCTTCGCATAGCCACGCACACACCGCAGACAACGGCCGCTACGAGCCGACATCCGGCGTCCCTGGGACATGTTTCGTGACGACGAGGACGACGAGCCTCGACGAGCTCGCGGATCCCATGGTAAACATCTAGGCACCTGCACAGAGATCGGCACAGCCGGTTCGAAAACGGTCCCTGACGCAGCTGTGACCGTTCCTTCTCGACCCTTGCATGCGCGTGGCGGATACACGTACTCCCCCTGCACCCAGAAGAACTCGGAGCCGGGTCTGGGCACGCGAATGAGCCGGAGCGGTGCCACACCTCCCCATGTAAGCGAGATGCGGAGCCATACGCGCCTTCATCGACCCTCACGTCCCGTGCCAACAGCTGCGTCGCGACCTCACGGGCGGGTCACAGCATCACGTGGTATTGCCCTCTGCGATTCCCATCCCTCTGTCTGGACCTCGATGGGACGGCGACGTTCCCGATCGCGTTTCTCTCCCTGTGCGTCGGGCTCTTCGCGGCCGCCCCCCTCGAGGTTGGGCTGGACCCGACGCTCGCCGCAGAAAGGGCGCTCTGCGCCGGTGATCGGAGGGGCTAGAGCTCATAAACATCATTAACACCACATCCATCCAGTCGTTTGATCGAGTCGGCAACTGAACACCTGTTATCCCGATATGGTGTTTTCCTGTCTGCTTCGATTTGATGGCACAATCACGTGGGGTCATGCTGTTATCCCCGACGTCCCCTATTTCGTCGAGAATCAATCTGAAGCTTCTTCTCGAGCCCCTCTCCACTGACACCGACGGAGGTGCACCCAGTGCGAGTATGCGGGGATCGGGACCCTCTCGTGCGCTGTGCCCACGTGGTAGACCGAAGCGCATGATCATGACACTCCGAACGGCCGGTCAACGGCGCAGAGATGACGCGCGTGCCGCCAGCATCCCCAAAGCTTGAGTGCGCCGTGCGGGTGGCTCAGGGAGTGCACCCGGTGCGATGCGACGACATGGAAACGAGGCGACGAGGGGTGGTGTTGCGACAGAAGTTTCGTCATGCATATGCCGGGAGAACGTAGCGATGCGCAGGGTTCGTTTGTCGACGGTCACCGAGCCCACGCGATACGATAATCCAAACATGGCAGTCAGCAGACCAGACTCATATTGCAGCAAGCTTCTCGCCGACCTCCGGTATGTATGTACACATACCAACGTGCTTTACGAGCTATCAGCACCCCAGTTCCTCGGCAGAGGGGTCCGGCCGGCTGTGAAGCGAACAGGGTCGGTTCGCGCCCGTGATGGACGGACGGGCCAGAGCCTCTGGTGGGTCTCCGAATCGCCCACGCATTGATTACGGACGAGGCTCCTCAGTCCCTGACAGATAGGATGCAATGTCGGAGCTACGGGATTAGTTACCCGGTTCAGAACTCGATTCCGTTTGTCCTTCTGGCCCCAGCTGCGTGGGCGGGTCCTCGAATTTCTCTCCCAGCTCGACCAACGACGTGAAAAGGCCCACCACATCCACCGTGCGGGCTGTCAGTGTGCAGCGGTGGCTGTGAGTTCCCACGGTTGAACTGGTCTGCCGCCGCTGTTTCCATCCCAGCGCGGATGTCCCGAGAATCGAATTCCGATCAACCTGTCAAAAAGAATACCGTGCTTCCATGCTGGGTCCGGTGGGGTGTGCTGGTACAATGGTAGGCAAGCAAGAGCCCGGGTGCAGTAGCCTGGGCGAATATGCTGTGATCTACCGATGCATTAGGCCGAGCAATCGGCCTAAGCTGCGCTGTACGGTATAAAAAGGTGATCCATTCGCAGCAGATTCCAGACAGAAACCCACCCGCCGCCGCAAGATGCACACCTTCGCCACTCTCTTCGCTCTCCAACTCGCCCTCGTGTCCGGCGCCCTCGGTGCGCCCACCGCGAACGTTCCCCGCGCAGCCTGCGTGGACGTCATGGTACGTGCCCCCACCCGAGCGACATGCCATGATGTCCATAATTCATGCTCACTCCCTGCTGCAGGTCATCTTCGCGCGCGGCACGACCGAGGCTCCGCCGATCGGGACCGTCGCAGGCCCGCCGCTCCAGTCTGCGCTCACCAGCGCGCTCCGCAGCTCGGGCAAAACGCTCTCGTTTGCGGGCGTCAGCTATCCTGCCGACGTGCCGGGATTTTTGGCTGGCGGCGACCCGCAGGGCTCGAAGACCATGGCCGCTGACGTGAGTCGCGTGTATTTTCAGCATGTCAGAGAACTTGGTTGCTCATTTGTTCAGCTCACGAACGCGGCGAACTCGTGCCCCAAAGTGCGTCGATGGTCTCCGAAAGAGTCTTGCCTTTGAGTGCTGATGTTTTTCCCAGGCCGCGCTTGTGACGGTCGGCTACAGCCAGGGCGGCCAACTGGTCCACAACTCGGCCAAAATGTTGTCCTCCACCGTATCGTCCCGGATCAAAGCCGCAGTGATCTTCGTGCGTGTCTCGCTCCTGATGCGCAACTCTAGGAGTACTGAGACGGGTGCACACAGGGCGACCCCGACAATGGCACGGCCGTCGCGGGCGTCAGCGCGGCGAACACTAAGATCATATGCCACACTGGCGACAATATCTGCGCTCACGGAGACCTCATCCTGCCGCCGCACTTGTATGTCGTCTCTCCATCCGAGTTGATGCGCATGGGTCTCACCGCACTTTTCAGGACGTACGGCCAGGATGCGTCGTCTGCTGCTGCTTTCATTGTCAGCAAGGTGTAGTTAAACTCGTGGATTGTGATCCACCAAATTCGAACGTAAAGAGAGAAAGGATAGTGTAGGCTGTGAGAGAATGTTTTACTCTATGAAATTTGTAATATCATATATAAGAACTCGAAACAAACATTCGTTTTGCTCTTTCACACTGCGGCATGACCGGGACTCTCTGCGAGAATATGACATCCCTCCAAGCCGAGTCGAGTGCAGCCGGAGTGACGGACACTTGTGGCGAATAGAATTACTCATCAATCCACTTGAACCCCGTCGAATTCAGTTTGCATTTCATAAATCCAATTCTTTTGCATGACATTCTTTTTCTTATTCACCAAGAACCACCATCCGCCCACCGAAAGCCAAACCGCGAACACGTGAGCGTCGAGGTTGAACCCAGATCACGTGCCGATGCTCAAACCTTGCTGGCGATGAAAGCGGCCGCGGTGGGCGTGTCCATGCCATAGTTCCTAGGAGCAGAAACACGCATCAGAAATGAGTTGGATAGCATCGCATTTACGCACAGATGGGGCGGCAAGACGATGATCCCGTGCGCACAGATGTTGTCACCAGTATGGCAGATGACGAGTGTCTTGGACGCGCTAACGCCGGCCACCGGCGAGCCGTCGTCGGGGTCGCCCTGTTATTTCGTCAGCTCGATTTGACGCCTACTGAGGCGGGGGCTGCGACGCACGAAGATGACCGCGGCGTTGATGCGCGCCTGGACCTTGGCCGACAAGAGTTTGGCCGAGTTGTGCACCAGCTGGCCGCCTTGGCTGTACCCAGCCGTGACGAGAGCGGACTATACGCGCAAAAACACGCAACATCAGTAGCCGTTGCTTCGAGATGCACAGAAACAAACGCACGTTCGGGCATGAGTTCGCCGCGTTGGTCAGCTGCAAAAGCCGCGTCAAAACGAGCCGATCGGAGGGAAAGCATAATCAGGAGCGACTTGCATCGTTAGCCATGTTCTGCGAGCCCTGCGGATCCCCGCCCTCCAAAAATCCGGGAATGTTCGCGGCGTAGGTGACGCCGTTGAACGCGAGGGTCTTGCTCCCCAGCAGGCCCTGCAGCGCGGACTTCAACCCGGGACCAACAACGCTGCCGATCGGTGCAGTCTCCGTCGTCCCGCGCGCGTAGATGACCTGGACGTTAGGGAGTCAATCCGGCCGTGTTCGCCGCGACGCGACTAGCGCCACTTACGATCACGTCTGCGCAGGTGGCGCGGGGCTCGTTGACTGGGGCTGCGAGCACCACCGCGAGGGAGGCGAGGCCGAGGAGAGCAGAGAGCGAGAACTTCATGGCTGGAGGGGCTGCTGGTACTGGCACGAATTTTCCAACACCGTTACGCCCAGCTTTTATGCTCCTCGAGGAGCATGTGCGCGCTCTGTCTTGGCTCGATCCCCGCGAGGACGCATCGGTCACGGCTGCCCTCCCCGGACCCGAAAGCAGGCGTCGCAGGTCAGCACCCTCGAGCACGGGACCGCACTTGTGAGCGGCGACCGTGAAAAAACATGACAGGTGCCTACCGGCCCCCGGCTATTACGACGACCAGGTTTGCCCGTCGCTCGAGTCTAGCTGAGTTTCTACCAAGACAGAGATGTGGATGGCGCTCGAAGGGGGCTGTCACATGAGAGGGTGGTCAGCGCGGGTGCTGTCAGCGCGGGCAGATGATCTTAGGGAGGTTCGAGAACAACGTTCCCTCCCATATTTCAGCGGATTTTGAGGGTGACAGTCAACGAGGATAGAAGATCACATGAAGACACAAGCCAGGCAGACTCGCGCGCGCTTTACCCCCGGTCCAAGCCCAGATAAACAGGAGTGTCGACAGTTGAAGGCGGTCAGTGGGCGCTTGTGGGTGTCATTGCTCAGTGCTAATTCGCGTACGTCAGTTGGCCCGTAAGATTGGCGCTACTTGCAGATGACCCGGTTTAGTCCGGCCGCCTGAATGGCCCGACGATCGGATCCCGGCGTCGGAGCTTGGCTTTGCTTGGGCACAGCCCAACTTCTTTTACTGACCGCCTCGGCACACACGGGTTATTTCGGGCAGATTTTGTCTTGCCAACAGGTTTTTTCTTGAGCTCCCCAGTGCCCACACGTGAAGCAGATCAGAACACTGATTATTCCACTCTGCCATGGTTATCCAATACTTGGAACTTGGCGCCGAGTTCGGCCCAAACACCCAACGATCATTCTCACGTTAAAAGGGCGCATGCAGCAATTTGACTGTGACACTGGAAGAGAAAAGGTTTGCTCAGGGAGCCACCTGGGCATTGTGTATTGGGCAGCGGGGGGCGGGGGAAGAACTGATAGCAGTTGTTATGCAAGTCATTATTAGCTATCGATGAGATGCGAAGTGCGTTGTTCATTTGCGACATGGTCTCCCTCCCTGGAGTATGCTGCCCCTGCTCGAAACTACACAATCCTTCCACTTGCACAGTCAATCATTCTCCAGTCTATAGTGACGGCGAAATTAGTTGTCCCACCCCTAGTCCGGTGCATCATGCAGTGAGGTGATCTCAGGCAGCGATAGACTTCGAGGCTGATCCATATTCCAGCGCCACTGGGTCTATCTGGGACCAGACCTTGGAAACGACTCGTGCACAGATAGATCTGACATGACAAACTATCGCTAGGCATATCGGCGCGATCCAGCTCGAAATGACATCTCTCCGTCAGTCGTACGACAGCGGTTACGGGTGCGAACAGAGCTGGCGACTCTGGAAAGTGCGATCCCACTACTATGGAGCCGCATGTTCGATCAAAGCCGGTCCTGAGCCGTTGGCCAGTTACTCGAAGAAATCACATTTCCGTGCGTGTCCGTGGCCATGTAGGGTTACACCTGTATGCGACTTGACATGGGATTGACCTCCCAGTAATTGGCTATAAGCGGCCAAGGTTTCGCGGTCACGTGGATCTTGCTCATCAAGATCGGTACTGATACATTAGAATCTACTATACATCGTGAGGATGTGCTACTAGCTTCAGGCCACTGACACCTTTCTTCACTCTCTCCACACCATCGGGGATACTCGCCAGCCCACCCGGAAGTATCTCGTATTTTACGCCCTGACAGTGCGTTAATACCAGCCGGGGTACTGCACAACGCACTCACCTTCAGGACACCCTTGCTGATCAAAGCCGAGAAGTTCTCGATAACATGCTTCCCGAACTTGGTGTGCTCGGCTGTCCCCGCGTAGACCGGGATCTTCGACGTGTTGTACGGGAAAACGTCCGGCCCGTAATAGACGCCGAAGACCTTGACGAGCGTGATGTTTTTGCCTGAGCGGGTCAAGGGGACCATCGGCAGTGCGGTGACGACGCCGCCCTTGTCGAGCGCGCAGTCGTATGCTACGTCGATCAACCCGCATGCGTCGTACACGACGTCGAACGTCGCGCCGAGCAGCCCGCTGAGGTCAGTGCTGGGCACGGTCGTCCGGTCGACGCACTCGGTCGCACCCAACCCCTTGAGAAGTTCCGAGTGCTTCCCAGATGCGTAGGACACGATCCGCGTAAATCCGACGAAGCGGAGCAGTTGGATGGCTGGCGGGGTTGAGCGACAGGCAAATGAGCCATCGACCGACTGGTCGCCGGTCACCACTCACCGAACTGCCCGAGAACCGACGATCCCCCGAGGACGAGTGCAGATTTGCCGCTGTACGTCGGTTGCTCCCACGAAAGCTCAGGGTTCAGGTTGAGACCTATCGGATTCGGCGCGTACAGCCCCACGCACGCAGCTGCAAACCCAGTCGGATATGTCGCGATATCATCCAGATTCGAGTCCTGGGGGACACGAAGCAAGGTGCCCGCGGGCAGGACCGCGTACTGCTGGTATCCATACCCGAGCGTGCCCGCACAGCTGTCTTATGGGTCAGCGCGATCATTTCCTCGCTGCGATGCAACCGACGACGACTCACACTTTGTCGCCGATCGCGAAACCCGTCACGCCCTCGCCCAGTGCGTCGACGACGCCTGCGATGTCGCCCCCAAGGACGGCGGGATAGCTATCGACGAGGATGTTGTAGTCGCGCTGCCCTGCGCTGAGCGGCGCGATGCCCGTCGAGAGGACCTTGACGCGGACCTCGCCCTTGCCGGGATCGCCCTTGGGGATGGTTTTGAGAACCATGGGCTGTTGGGGTGCATCGATGACGACAGCTTGTTGAGTGGCCATGATAATGTTAATGTTGCCGCGGTGGATTTCGTGGCGAGCGTTTTATAGGAGGTCCCAAGGAAGGAGAAACGGAGCGATTACTCAGTCATGTCATCGATGTGACCGGTCTTTTTGCACCATTCATAAGCCAAATGGGCACTCTTCGCGCAAGTCCTGCTACGAAGAGTATGATCTACAGGCGACACATGGAATTTAATCGTAGCTGAGGCTTCTCGCCACTCCTTCACACAAGCGGTGATCCCTGTTCATCAGCGGCATCTTGTCTGCAGTCCGGCGGCCGTTCATCCGGTGCTTCCAGGAGATATCCGCTTTTCACTCCAGCATCCCAAACAGCCCAAGCACAGCGACTGGCGCAGGACCGCCTTCGCGAGGCCGAGTTTGCCCACAATACGCTAGGGCGTGTCGTGAAGGATGCCACGTAACCGCTGTTGCAGGTGCCGATGTTGGCACGCGGTGCAACGAAAGCCCAGTCTCTGTTCCGCACTGGTATCACAATTAGTAATGGAAAGTAGCCAGAACCGATCAGCGCACGATTTCGACATAAGAACCTGCGCTGCCAATAGCAAGGTACTCTCCGTCATGCGAGAAGCTGATACCATTTATCCTGTGGCTTTTTACCGCAAGTCAGAAGAAAGTCGAGGAGCGCGGCGAATACGAACTCGCAAGCAGTAATCGTGTGAGTGCAAATCCATTCTTCGACGTCAAACAAGTTGACGATCGAGTCGAAGCCTCCAGATGCGAGATATCTGCCACATGAGATGAATGCTGAAAAAAGTCGGATACAGACATACATACCGCCCTCGAGGATCCAGTGCAAGAGCCATGCAGCCTCCCGGATGAGCAGGCAGCTCCTCTTTTCTTGTCAAAGAAGGATAGTCGAGGATGCGCAGGCTGGTCTCGGAATAATACGTCGTGGCGAACCCATCTCCAGAATGGTTCCACAAAGCAAACGACGCGACGGTGCGCTGCGTTGGATTCTGCCGCCAGATCTCCTTGCTGTCCTCTCCCTCCTTGAGGAGATCGAGGAAGAAAAGACTATGTCCAGCAGACGTGTAGAGGAGCGTGCGACCGTTGGGCGAGTAGCTTGTGAGCATAGGCGATACCTTGAGCGGGACAGACTGCGTATACCGACTTTCTGTCGTCGGATCCCGAGTTTCAGGCTATCTGTTCGATATGAGACGTGGACCGACTCACGTCGCGCGTCCCAGAAGACGATCCTACGATCTTTCTGGCTTGAGGTGCAAAACAGGTCCGGATGTGTGGGGTTCCAGGACACGTAGTCCACATCGTCCTGGTGCCCGCCCGAGAACACAGTCGCGTGTTTCTGCTCCATCTACGCGTCGGGGTGTCAGTCAGTCCCGGCCGTGTTCCGCGACGCGTAAGGAGACGCACGCACGCCCTTTTCGGGGACCCAAACGCGCGTGACCTTGTCGATGCCCACGGCTGCGAGGCGCTTGCCGTCGCAGCTCCAGGCGACGTGGTTCATGGCATGCGAGCTGTTGAAGCGGTATTCCCGGGGTTTGAAGGTCGGGAAGGACGGGGGCTGCGCTGTGGGTTGGGAGAGAGCGATGAAGATGTCCTGGGGAGCGTACTAGGATTCCGCGCGTCGAGAATGTCGTGTGTGGAGGTGGTGACGGTACGCGCTGAGGCTCAGGAGTGTCTTCTGGCTCTTTCGGAGTCGACATGATGATATATGGGTTTGAATCTGGTGAGGGCTGCGCCAAAAGATACGTCAACCCTAACCCCAACCAACTCTCTTTGATCTCGTCCACTTCGCGCCATGGATTCACGACCGGATACACCAGAGCCCCCGCCACAAGACCTATGGGGCTCCATCCTCGACTCTGTGTCATCCTCACGTGCTATACCCTCGAAGCAGGTGCTCTTATTAGGGCAGCCGCGCACAGGCAAATCCACCATAGCTGCGGGCTTGCTGCAGAAACCGGTCGTGGAAGAGAAGGACGATCATACGACGGACTTTGCTATCGGGTACGACTTTAGCAACGTACGTGACGATGCGGATGAGGGTGAGCCGGATTTTGTGCGGCGCTCTGCGTGATATCGAGCGCGTTCGCAGATACTCTTGCGCGCCTTTCGGTGTACACCGTGCCCTCTTCGGCACCAGAATACACATCGCTCTTACCACATTTCGTCCCCCCAAGAACAGCGCTCCCGAATACACTCGTGATGATCGTGCTGGACTGGACGCGTCCTTGGACATTCGTGGAGGAACTCGAGACATGGTTACAGTGGGTCGAGCAATGGGCAACGGGCGATAAATCGAGAGAACTGGAGATTGTGCGCGAGGAGAGTCGAGAGCGACGTGAGTTGCTGGTTCTATTATTGTTCGTAGACGCCTTCAACTCATGGGGGTTCTGCTCCAGTGCAAGCACATTTGCAGTACTATACCGAGCCCGCCACGGATCCCACCCCTGCTCCTTCGTCAATATCCGGAAGCACGATTCTACCTCTGGGCTCGGGAACGCTGACGCATAACGCGAGTGGCGTGCCGATCGTGGTTGTATGCAGCAAAGCTGACCTCATCGACGAGGGAGGGGACCCTGTTGCAAGTTCGACTGGGATGGGAGGTATGGTGCGAGGGAAGGGTGGAGAATGGGAAGAGCGCACGGATGGTATCATGCAGGTCCTCCGGACAATATGCTTGAAATGTCTGTTCCGTCTCGTCTTCCGTTCTTCCTTGTCTAATACTCACAAACTTGAAGACGGGGCATCTCTGTTCTATACGACACAACAACCGTCAACGCTTCAAATTCTGCGACAGTATGCACTCCATATGTTGTTCATACCACCAGCACCCTCGCCTGCAGTTACTTCTGGTTCTGAAGCTCCGGCGCCTGGCCGGAATCCGTTTCCATTCCCCCATAAAGCCAACTATCTTGATCGTGACCGTATCATTGTTCCTGCCGGCTGGGACAGCTGGGGGAAGATCACCATCATGCGTGAAGGATTTGAAGCACGGACCTGGGGCGAGGCCTGGGAGCGCGACCTGGAGGCTGAGGGCGGTGAGAGCGCGAATGATGGTGCCAAAGCCATGTTTGTTTCGCTGGTCCCAGACCAAGGAACCAAGGTCAGCTGCTCCAATCTCATGAAAAGAAGGATGTATTCTGACACAGTCGAGCAGCCACCTACGCTTCCCTCGCTAATAAGCCCCACCTCAGAGCAGGTCTTCCTCGCCAAGCACTGGGACGAAAACTCGAAGAAACCGGACCGCGATCCCCGTGGTGCTTTCCGAGACCCTCAAGAACTTGCTCGCAGCGCAGCCGGCTTGGTCGGCCCACTTGGAGCACCCAGCTTCGATCTACCGACTGTCGATCGGGTTCTTTCGGAGATGGAAATCGGTATCGGGGGTGGGACTATTTCAGCTCCAGCTCGGCCTGCTGCCGGCGCATCTGCTGCAACGCGGCGGCCTACAGCGCTGGCTTCGTCGACAGCAGGAGCGCCCCGGCCAGCCGCCAATGTTCCCAGTCCAACTTCTGCTGGCGGAAGTCAGACTCAGCACGAAGTTCTTCAGAACTTCTTCGCGAGTCTGTTGAGCTCGAAGGATCGAGGAGCAGCCAAGAAAGTGAACGGGGTTGGCTCTAGTCCTCCTGGTGCCTCCGCAAGTAATGGAACAGCGGCGGAAGAGTCTGATACGTAGTGGTAGTCGGGAACTCTTTCATATCGCGAGGTCTAGGAGCTCCACGACACATTTTTCACGCCCTAAAGGATAAGAAGCAAGACGCATTCATCAGACACGTCGAAATCACTGAACCATTGAACACATGATTTCTGGAACGCATCACGTTGCCGATCCAGGCTCTTCCCCACCCACTCGTTTCGGTGTTGACCCACTTGTGCTCTACATCCTATTTCTATGCTACCCCGCCTTCTTTAAACATGCTATCTAACTCTGTAGGCCCGCGGCCCCGCCCACCCGGTCGCATCCGGCGGTCCGTTTCCAGTACAATGCAACTGGGCTCTTCCCCTCCCCCTTCCTACACCTCGTCTCTCGCTGTGCGGTCCGAAAATGTCACACCTTCTCCGAAATACCTGGGCTCTCCCCTACCAGCAACACTCCAAATGGTAGAGCTGGGGGAAGAGGATGCGGATTGGTTGAACGAGAAGTCGCGCGAGGAGCTGACGGAGTTACTCCTTAAAGCCGGGGATCTCATCAAGGAGCGTGAAACGGGTACGTGCACCAGTATCTCGTATCTGCGAGCTGTCCTGCATGTCTTCCAGGGCTCAGTCTCACGTCTGCGCTGCGCAAGACCTTGCATGAAAGCAATGTCTCACTGAAAGACAAACACGATGCGTTGGTCGCCCGGCTTCCATCCACTCCACCTCTCCTATCGCCCCACGTATCGTTCTCTGAAAGCCCCGAATCGTCGCCGCACGACCTCGTGCAGGACTCCGACCGTTCCCCACGCGTGTATCTCAAACGCCACTCGCGGAAGATTTCCGTTTCTCCGGCAGACCTCTCGCACCTCGCCGACCAGAATGCAGAGCTCGTGAACAAGATCGACACTCTGGAATCGGAGGCGCTAGCGACGGAACGCTCGAGCCGGCGTGCGCTGAAACAGCTGGAGAAAGAGCTGCAGTTGCTGCGCGACGAGCTGGAGAAAACGCAGGCGCGGAGCGAGCAGCTGGAGAAGAACGCACAGGTGGACACGGAGAAGATTGTCGAAGAGATGCTGCGCAAGAAGAAAGAGCGGCAGGCCAGATTCCGATCGATGCGCAGGAGTGCCAGTGCCTATAGTCCCGGTTCATCCAGCCTCTTTGGATCCGAGGTCCGGGATTTCGCTCCACCGCCGTTCTCTCTATCGCCTTCCCGCAATGTGGCGAAGTCCAGAACAGACTACGATTCGGATGAAGAGGTGCAGACGGAGACTGAGGCCAATCAACCGTCTCAGACGCTCGTTTCGCAACTACTCTCGAAAATCAGGGAGCTCGAGGACACGAATTCGCATATCTTGCAGCAGCAGTCAGAGACTGCGGACAAGCTGCAGGCTGTCCAGCGAGAAACGGAGAGCATCAGCAAGGTTTACGAGTGCTTCAACGTAGAGCATGGCGTCGAGTGGGAAATGGTCGGGGAAGCTGGCAAGAAAACACCTCTGGAAGGGACTATCCGGTTTAAGAGCTTTCGCCGGTCGCTGGAAATCGATCCCGACGACGTGCCGAGTATAAACCTTCCTCGGTCCAAGGCGCGCAAGTCTATCATCGGGCTCTTCGAGGGCCCAAGCAGCGCTAAGTTTGACCGACCCCGAACCCCAGAGCTGTTTCAGGAAGATTCGGAACTGTCACCTCTCAAATTCGATCCAAATCCGCTCTTCGAGAGTACTCCTATCGGACCTTCGCTGCATAGCGAACTCGGGGATGACGGCCTCGATCCGTTCTATCGCGGCAGTGTCTACGATCTCTCTTTCTCACCTAACGGGTCTCCCTCACCTCTCCCCGGTCGTTCGATTCCCGGTGAATTCCGCCAACAGGTCACGCCTCCAGACACCCCAATACGCTCTGGTTTGCTTTTGAGTGTTGAACCGACATCTCCCTCAAGTACGGTTTCTAATGCCGGATCGCTGAGAGATCGGAACCGCGCACGGAATGCTCGCATGGCGCAAGCTCTATCCCTCCGCACGAACCGTTGGGTGGATGGGCGATTTTCCTCTCAGTCGCCAGGCAGCCTTGCAGATGAACTGGTCCGTTCTCGTGTGGAAGTCATCTCGGCGAGGCGAGTTTCTCTTCCTCAGCGATTGGCTACTGCCTTTGAGGTCGTGATGGAGAACTTTACTCGGACAAGCGACGATGACCAGACGGGGGTTATGTCTCCGGTTTCTGACGCGGGTGACCTCTCCGACAAGACCATCGTCCTCCAGCCCGGTGGACGGAAGCACACAATGGTTGCAATCTTGCTCGAAGTATGGCTCTGGCTCCAGTTCGCGATCATCATTCTGGTTTTCCTCTGGGCTATGGCCCGTCGCGGGCCAAAATCGGTGCTTGCCGAGGCGGATCGTAGGGCAGTGGTCAGCCGACGGTGAACTTCATATACATATCTTGGATATTGCACACACACACACTCACACACCATCGCCACCCACTGCGCACAGTACAGTACATACCGCATGTAATCTTTAGCTGGTCAGCAATTTGACTACCTCTTCATATCTCTTTTGTGTTCCCTGCACGACCGCTTCGTCGATCACCCAGCCGTCGCTCGTTCCCTCCGGCCCAGCCTCGAGACCTTTCCGGAAGCCGGCACCGACAAGCCAATCGCGAAGATATTGCTTGTCGAACGAAGGCTGTGACCGGCCAGCAGCATAACCCTCAAGCGGCCAATACCGAGAAGAGTCGGGTGTCAACAACTCGTCGATGAGCAGAAGCTCTGGCTCGGCGCCAGGTGAAGACGCAAACAATCCGAATTCGAACTTGGTGTCAGCCAGAATGACCCCGCGCGAATGTGCGTATGTGGACGCGTCGGTGTAGAGCGCGAGTGCAGCGGTGGAGATTTTGGCGTAGAGATCAGCGCCGACGAGAGCGGAAGCTAATAGGGGAATATTGAGGAAGATGCGCTCAAGGAGGATGGGAAAAGGACGCTGACCTTGCTCAGGCGAGATGTTCTCGTCGTGTTGGCCTTGCTCAGCTTTGGTAGACGGTGTGAACAGAGGTTCCGGAAGCTTCTGAGATTCGATGAGACCCGCGGGGAGTGTGATCCCATGAACTGTCCCAGTTTTCTTGTACTCTGCCCACGCGGAACCTGACAAGGGCCTCAAGATCAGCCACTTGCGATTTTGACTCGGAAACATACCCGTCAGATACCCTCTCACGATCGCCTCCAACGGAATGACTTGCGCCCTTTTCACCAGCATCGTGCGCCCTTCGAGCTGATCCCGGTATTCATGCACCTCCACAGGCATCTCGTCGATGTTGGCAGTGATGAAGTGATTGGGGAGCACATTCCCAAGCTTCTTGAACCAGAAGAGCGAGATCTCTGTTAACAATTTCCCTTTGTTCGGAATTCCCTGAGAAAATGTTGGAATAGAAAGACGTCAGTGGATGGCCTAAGCATGAACAGAGGAACCAACCCACATTCTTCAAGATCACATCATATGCAGAGATCCGGTCTGTCGCGACGAAGAGCAGCTTTTCCGGATCGGAGGTAGCGTAGATATCCCGGACCTTTCCTCTGGACAAGAGCTTGAGTTTTGGGAGGTCCGAGTGGGCGAGCGCCGCCGGAGTCATTTCGCGATTGATAGTGGAAAATCACAAGGCTATATCGGGAAGCGAGGAGGAGTTTTGACTTGTTGAGGCTGCGGCTTCTTCCGTGATTCCTCAGAAAATGTCCTCTTCGTCCTCGTCATCTAGTGGAAGCTCCAGAGGCTCGACGCCTGAGCCGGCTCAGAAACGCAAGCGCGAAGATGAGCAGGATGAGCAGGACTCGGATGCTGAGAGCTCGGACTCCGAATCTGAATCTGAAGCTGGAGCCGACACCGACGCCGCACCCACACCTGCGGCCGAATCCGACGATCCTGTCCTCTCGCACGCGGAGAAACGTCGCCAGAAGAAACGTGAAAAACAAGAGAAAGCAGATGCCAAGGTCTCCAAGAAACGGAAGCTAGACAATGGGTCCAGTGCGACAGACAAATCGAAGCGCCAGAACTCGGTCTGGGTCGGGAACATGTCGTTCAAGACGACTCCGGAGGCGTTGAAGGAATTCTTCAAGGACGCAGGAGAGGTGACGAGGGTACATATGCCGACTAAGCCGAGCAGAACACCTGGGATGCGGCCTGAAAATCGAGGGTGCATCTGATGCCTTGCTTTTCACGATTCTTTTGCTGAATGGCTGACTTAGATTTGCCTACGTTGATTTCGCGACGCAAGAAGCAAAGGTCAATGCCGTGCTCATGTCGGAGAACAATCTTTTGGGCCGCAAACTACTGATCAAGGATGGTACGTATAGCACCCCCTGGTCTACGGTGCGATATGAACGCGGGCCTTCATTCATTCAGGAAGCGATTTCACCGGGAGACCCAGTGCTCCAGCTGCAGCCACCGAGGACGCGAGTGGAACCACGCACTCGAAAACGGCACAGAAGATCCTAAGGATACAAAAGCAGCCCGCTGCTCCGACGCTGTTCCTCGGAAACCTGGCGTTCCAGACAACCGAAGAAGACATCCGACAGCTTTTCAATGCTCACCGACCCAAGAAGGCGAAGGGAGATCCGGAGGAGAAGCCTGAGGAATGGATACGTAAGATTCGTATGGGGACGTTCGAGGACACGGGGAAATGCAAAGGGTGAGCGAGGCCCTCAATACCCTTCCTGACTGTGGGTGTGCTGACTACCGGAAAAGGTTCGCGTTCATCGACTTCACCACCACGGAGCACGCCACGTCTGGCCTGACGAACCCGAAGAACCACTCCCTGAACGGGCGGCAACTCGTGGTCGAGTACGCCTCGGCCGACGCGGTGCGCCGAGGCGCGGTGAAGACACACCTCAAGGACAAAGAGGGTGCTGTCGGAGGAGGAGTAGGTCCCCGCAAGAGATTCGAGCGGGATGCCCAGCCGCGCGTGCCGCGGCAGAAGTCGGAATGGCATTCGCACCCCAAGGCAGAGACCGATGCAGCGACTGAGGATGTGACGATGGACGGCAATACGCCTTCTGCGGAGCCTGCAGCGGGACGTCCACAGCGGCCGCAGAAAGGCCCCAAGCACCGGCCGAAGCCGGGAGCTGCGCTTGCGCTTGCCAAACGCGAGTCTGCCGCCATCATGCCTAGCCAGGGCAAAAAAGTCGTCTTTTGAGGCGACATCCCAGGAGCGTGCCGTGCTGTACATAGCATGTTGTGTTCTGAAATTACTGTACCGGGACTTTCAATGGGAATGAGCGAGAATGTGGTGCTGATAGTCACACTCGGCCGCTCGAATTGTCTCGAATCTCAAGTTTTGTGAATATTTGTTGTGAAAGCATGTCTCCAGTGGTCATAACGAGATAGCGACGCACGCCATGTACCTGAGATGCGGCCAAGCGCGAACAGGAGAAAGATGGTGCCTCTTATCTGAGAAACCTCTGTAGGGGACAACTTGGACCAAGCGCAAATGAGAAAGAGGTGATGATCTCGTTCAAGTCCTGTCATGTGACGTGACAGTCGCGTTCAATAACGCGTCTCAGACTGAGCTTGCCCCTGTTCGCGCCCCGGATTTCTAGCCTGTGCGCTGGAACTCCATGCTCATACCAGGCAACATCGTGATCCTGCTTTCCAATCTCGAAGCTCACCGCAGAGGTTTCTATGAAAATGGCGACAGTAGTGGGGAGGCTCTTTTTGCCCCGCCGTGCCGATGCGGATCCACGGGCACAAATCTCCTCGCGAGCAAGGCGTAGCTGCTCGCCGCGCCCTTACTCTGCCGTGTGGCTGACTCCCAAGCGCTCATTACGCCTATGGCAAGTGCGCTTTCGTAGAGTGGGAACTGTCAGGGGCAGTCTTTTTAAGTCGGCTGAGGATCGAGGGTGGTATGTTTGTGTGCCGCGATCTCTTGCGCCGTCCCTAAGGATAGAACCGAGGGCTGATGTGAGCGCTCTTTGCCCATCTATCTGATGTGCCCGAAAAAGAGTCCTTCTGACGAGCTTGCAGGACACCCCAGTGGAGATCGTGCCGCAGCGTCCGAATCTTGTCTCGGATAGTTCTCAAGCCCTCATATCTCGTGTTTGTGCTTCTTTCGCAGACGGAAGCCGAAATGCAGCTCGAAGCGACAATGACAACGATAACCTCTGCTGGTGATAATCTTGACCTGAACTCAGGAAACGTCCCGGCATCGGGCGAATGGCGTGCCAGGTTATGTTTGTCCTCCCCCATCGTGCGGCTTCAGTAGCGTCGACTTTCACATGTTTGTTCGGGAGGCTGATCGAAATCGATATGCCTTCTGCCTGCGATGCTCTGCGGATGGAATACATGCGACGCCGGGAACAAGATGCGATCTGGCCAAGACTCTTCTCTCCCTCTTCTCTCCATTGCCGAACCGGAGTCTGCATCCACTGGTGGGGGACAAGGGCGATGACGCATCCATTGCGCAAATTCCAGACGGGGATGCCGATGGGGAAGACGGCTGCTGCAAGAGAAGCCGCTTGGCCTGTTTATGGGTTTGGTGGCGGGAGGGGGGCAGGTTGCCCCCACGGTCCCAATGAGGAACAGCCGGGGTGTGCAAGCCATTTGCGGTATGTTCGAGAAGTTGTGTGTCTGATTCGATCTCCCTCACTGTCATGTCAGACTGCGGATGTCGAAGGTCGCGACAGATCTTGTGTCCGGAATCGTCCGTCGGTGTTCCCGACATACATCTAGATCTCTCTCTGTCCCCCTCATCATCGGTGGGCCCATCTGCAGACTCTGACGCAGGTGGGAGAAACGAAATCTGGGTATTGATATTCCTGGTGTCCTGCCGCAGATTCTTACGCAGACAAGACTTGACCAACTGTGACTATCTGAGGGCTGCTGCTGAAAGCTTCGTCTTCTCTTGGAGGCCAAGTGAAGCAAAATGTAATGGGAAGTTCTGGCTTGCCAGTGCTCAGCATTTTCGTCTCCGTCCCTCATAGGAGGTGGACTGGGCACTCGGCGCAAGGATATGTTCCCGAGCTTCACAGATATTGACCCCGCTCGACGGCGCGCCATTAGATTGCCGGCTCTGTGCACTGAAACAACTTTATCTGGAAATGAACCACATGCGCGCCGGCGTTCGAAGTCTTCGCGCCTTTCTCTTCTACATTCGGTGCCCGGCTGAACTCGGCGCTGGCCGAGGCAGAGGTTGTTCCCTCGTCTAATCTGGTCGAGGACGGAGTGAGAGCTGATATCTTCATTGGGATAGTGGCAGATTGCGATCGAGGACAAAGAAACGAGACGTCAAGAAAAGTTCTGGGGCCAACTGAGGCGGAGAATCTGCGCAAGCACGGGGTCAGCGGGGCCGGCCTGAAGTGGAAGCCGAGACTCGATGCGAGCCGGGGGGCAGAGCGATCTCGAGTCGCGTCGCACATGATATCCGACTTTCTTACAAATTCACCGGCACCAGCGTCAACCTGAGATTCGAGATGGGACCCTCGCATCAGCATCGGTCATTATGTCCGAGCCTGATTGCGGACGGAAGTGACGTGCACAATCTCTGAGCCGGGGGAGACAGGTGGATCGAAAACGGACAATTCGTCCGATCCTTGCAACCTACGCTTGCGCAGGTCTCGCGCATATACTCCTATCCAAGAACAGCGCCTATTTCACGCATCTTCACGCACACTCCGGCCCTGCTGCTATCGAGTTCCGACCCTTGTCAGGACTTGTCTATCAATTGACAAGCACGCGGGGAGAGGTGCCCCCAAAAGGGACTGTTGACCCCCACCCTGTGTGGGCTCACTCTGGAACCAAAAATTCATTCATGGAGTCCTTCTGAGTCGGACTCGACTGTGACCGACTTGTGAGTGAGCGGATCGCTTCGGTTCCTCAGTATCAGGGCTCAAGCGAGCTGAGCAGCATTGCAACACAGAGACAGTACCGAGGAAAAAGTGGTGCCAGAGCTACGAATAGAAATCGCCTATAATGGAGTAAAAGCCGGGCTTGGACGACCTTCCCGTCTCAGAGAAACTGCGCGCCCGAGTCTCTTGGCACGACGTCCTCGCACCCGATCCATTCCAGCCACTCTCTGACAGCGCCGGGCCCTTTCAGATACACCTCCGACGGTCTCCCATCCTCCACTTTCCAGTACGACCCCCCAGCCAGCCGCACCACGCGCACAGTCGCGAATCCGCGCTCGACGACCGTCCGCGCACAGCGCGAGCCGAGATCCGGGAGCGCGATGTAGCGCAGCAGAGGCGGGACACCGGGCCGGATCTGGTCGAGGAACGACGCAGGGTCCCTCGGCGCCGCCACGAAATCGAGCGTCAGTGCACGCACGCTGCGCGGGATCAGCCACGCAGCGAGCCCCGCGGCGAGATCGCGCGGGTACGTGATCGTGAGCGTGCGCAGCTTGGTCAGCGTCGGCAGCACGCCCCAGACGGCGGCGTCGAAGCCGGCCGTGCGCTGGTCGGCCTCCTCTCGCACAATGAGCGAGAGCTGCACCAGCTCCGATCGGGCGCGCAGGAAATCGGCGACGGCAGGGAACAGATCGGCGCTGCCCGGTCTCCGGGCCGCCCCTGAGACGGTTAGCGAGAAGAACCGGAGGAAGGGCAGGGCTCCGCCGCTGGTGGCGTGGCGGAACTGAATTGCCGGCAGACACTCGATGGTGCAGGTCAGGCTGAGCGAGTCCAGCTGCCTTGCGTCGCTCAAGATGACCGCAAACGCATTGCTGTCCGACGGGAAGTGGCCCGAGAACGAGATACTCGTCAAATTACGCAGCGAAAGCGAGTCCACCGGAAAGACCCAGGACATGTTGTGCAGCGACACAGTCCTCAGCGAGCGGTTCTGCGCAAGAAAGGCGTTCGTTGAGGTCGGATTGCCCTCTCGCGTCGAATAGGAAAGCGAATGCAACGTTTTGCAGTCAAAGTGGGTCAGATCCACCGGCGCATCTGGGCATCTGCTTCCTGGTTCAGCTCATGTCACAAAACGAAACTTCTGCCAAACCGCTACATACACAATCGAGAGCCCACGAATCCGCAGTGAAGACTGCTGCAGCAGTCGTAGCAAAGGTACCGTGTTTTCCGACGATCCAGAAATGTGCACGTTCCGCAGGTTCACCAGTCGATAGATCGCGTTCGAAAGCATTCCTGGAAAATAGATGAAACCAAGCACACGCATCTGCCTTCGTTATCACCGACCTATTTGGAACGCCATCGACTCGTCCTTGCCCGTGGCATACGAAAAGACACACAACGTGCGCACCGAGCCCGAGAACGACGCGTCCTCGATGATGCGCGTCAGGATATCCGCCGTCCGTCGCGCCGCTGCGCCGGGCCCGGCATCCACATCGTGATCGGGCGGGACGCTCAAATGCAGATCGAGCCTCCGGAAGAGCAGACGCGACGCGACCCGCGACAGGGCGTTCGGGACGGATAGGAGGGTCTTGAGATCGCGGCGCGGGAGCCAGAGTGCTATTTCGCGCCAGATTTCGTTGGAGAAGCGGGCCTGGGCGGTCAAGGTCGGGAGGGGGGCGAGCAGCTGTTGGCATGGCGTGAGAACGAGAACGGGAACGGGATCTTCAGCGGCGCGTCGGACCGACCTTCTCGACGGAGATGGAGCGGCGGTGAAGCAACGCCTTGGCTTCGGGATTGTCCGGTTCAGCGGCCAAGGCCGCTTGGAGATCTTAGGACCGAGAATTTAGCATGTTGCGGTTCGGTTTCGGCCGTGCGTATCGACATAGTACACAAACACTCAAACACACACCTTCTTGAGCGGCTAGCTGTAGGCCCGCATTCAGCCGCCTCCGTGCGCGCATGATCCGTGCCCTGGCCACATAATGCGGAGACAGGGTCGCGATTTGTAGACAGGACTGGATCGCGTTGTCGAAGACCGGTCGAGAAGGGCTTCAGCGGCGGGGGAAGAAATGAAAATCCAGGTGACGAGAGAAGAGAAACGAGACCGACCCATCTTGAGGAAGATGACCGAGCGCATTCAAGAGCACGTCCGCCTTTTGGTTCACCGTCAAACAAAGCGCCACATCACGGATGCTCGCGTCGACGATATTAGGATTGAATACAGCGGTAGTGCCCATTTCCGCGAGGTGTTTATGGTCGTAGGGCACTGAAACCGATTGTCATCAGACGAATCATGGATGCGATGCCCGGGGCGGCTGGACTTCGGATTCGGAAGGATCGGACTGGGACGCCGCTCGCTGTTCCTTTCCATCTTTTTCTCGCTGGATCTTTCCGGCTTCGAGACTGTTGATGGGGGGTTCGATTGGCTTTGTGTCGAAGGAGGGTCGAGATACGCACGGGGACTGAAGAGCGAGAAATCTCTCATACGCTGTGCACCGTGATGGCACAGGACCGGTCGGCGGTCCCCACAGCGGGGCCGGTAGAACTAGCCCCCGGGACTTTTATAATTATTCAATTTCAATCATATAGCAAACGTCAACACATCGGCAAACAGCTGGGATCTTCGAAGCTCCTTTCTTGTTCTCCTCCATGACCCCATCTCGCTGACCGGCCTTCCTCACATTCCCCCATCCGCCCTAGCCCTCGTCGAACATAAGGATAACGCCTGACGTAGGTGTCTTGACGCTTGCGCGACTCTCTCAGGTCTCAATCCCTGCTAGATTCTCGCGACCCTTATCGGCTTCTCCTACCCGCCCACCACACGCATTCCGCTGCACAATTCGCTCTCTGAGTACGCTTCGAGAACAATCTCGCGACTCACTCGACCAGCCCCTCGTCTTACGCTGAGCAATCGCGTCGACTCACCCGACATCCCCCACTAGAAAACCGCTTGTACCTCAGTCAAACACAAACCAATGGCCCTCACGAACCCGCCTTCCCCTGCTGCTTCCGACGGTTCTTCCAACTCCGTCTCCAGTGGACCTCCGCGCACGCCGGAATCCGCAGAGCACCCTCCACTCAAGTCCGAGTCCCATAACGCCGGTGGAGTCAAGCGCACCTCCAAACCTAATCGCCGTGCAAACACCGCCGAGCGGCGTGCCACGCACAACGCTGTCGAACGTCAGCGCAGAGAGACGCTGAATGGAAGGTTTCTGGTTAGCCTGTTCGGTTCTGACTGGCGTTATTGATGCTCATCTACTTTCCCCCCCTCTCCCAGGACCTCGCCGGGCTACTTCCCAATCTTTCCCAAATCCGACGCCCCTCCAAATCGGCGATCGTCAACTCGAGCATTGCCCATGTCAATGCGTCCCGCCGCCAGCGTATGATGGCTGCCGCCCAGCTACGCAGTCTCAAGCACGAATGTGACGAGCTCCGTCACGAAGTCAATCAATGGCGCATGCGGTCCGGGATGCCATGCGTCGAAGAACCAGTCCGTTCAGAAGCGTTCAGCCTTGTTTTAAGCGGCGAACTCGAGGTCGACGTCTCTGAGCTGCTAGAAGGTGACGAGGAAGACGAGGATGATGAGTATCCGCCTACAAGTGCCCCTGCTCGCCCCTATCCGCGGGGCCAGCCTGCATCTGGCTTCAATGGCGCTTACGGCGGAGAACGCGAGGATTTTGCCCGCCCTCAGCACCCCGCTGACGTGATGGGAGCGGCCCGCTACGACGTTCCCCAGACGATATCCATTGGCGTCCCACAGCGCCAATCGCACTCTCCCCCACAGTATGCATCGCCGATGATCGCGAGCCCGACGATGGCGCCACCTCCGTTCGACCCGTCGTTGGTGTATGACACAGGGCGACATCTCCACCATCACCAGCAGATGATGCTCCAGCAACATCAACAACACGAGGAAAGTGACAAGTGGGCCTTCCACAATCCGAACCAGATGCGCCCCGGCCCGCCGGTCTGGTGACCGATTGCATGTATTTCTAGTATAGACTGATGCCTACCCCATCTAATTATCTGTCGTCTGCCTTGCCTCGTGTCGATCATTTTGTCTTTTTATCGCTGTCTCTTACGATCGACTGGTTGCTGCTGAATGTCATTCTTTGCTATATACCCATCCCCGGGCTGCTTGTACACTACATCGGCAGATTGCGGAAAAATGTTTTTGATGTGTTTAAGAACTTATCTCCGACGGAAGGGGAACGCTGGAGCCGACTTTCGGGTCATCGTTTTTGTAATCGCCGCAGATGGCGATTAGATTAGATAGAGATGGCCCCTGCACGTGCTGGCTGGAAAGTATCCTGAGGTAAGCCAAGTCGTCTTACGCTTTCAGGACTTGAGTGAGCAAAACCGATGACATTTCTGCGGAAATGATTGCCAAGATATAAAGATCCTTGTGGATCACCGTTCAATGTTCATTTCCGAGCACCGAAGAATCCGAAGATAATTTTCATGCCTGCTCGTTGAAGCATGGCAAACCAGCTGCCCTCGGGAACGTTCGCTCCGAAGAAGAGGCGCTGAGCCCAAGCTGCCGTGGAACCTAACGGGAAAACGGACATCATGATAAGCCTTCTTTTTACCCAAGACAACGACGGTCAGACCTTTGACAGGACCGAGTGGGCCGAATCCAAACAAGCGGAGCAAAGGACGCAGGAGAAAGAAGGGAGCAGGCAGCATCAGTGGAGCAAGCCGGAAAAGAAGAGCGGCAAGCAGGTCAGGGTGTTGTTCAGCCAGATCGCCTGAGTCTTCTGTCAGCTTGGCCAGTTATCAGCGGCAAGAGTGCCGTAGTATCTCACCCAGCACGACCGTGAAGCCGTAGATCGCAGGCGCCAAAGTCGCGTTCCAGTGCTCGCTGACGCGTGTTTCGTTGTACCCGTGCTGGGCCAGGACACCAATGAGCGCGGCACCAGCCTTGTCCAGAGCAATCGCCACGACCTCTAGGCGTTGCGCGTGCCCGGGAGCCTGATCAGGCGCAGGGAACATCGCCTGCAGCTCGTGCGCGACAGCTTGCAACGCGTCTTCTAGGTCGGCGACGATCTCGCTTTGCGTGAAGGCAAGTGTGTGCTGGTCTCCCCTCTTCTCGAGAAATGCGGCATCCGGCGCGGCCAGATTCAAAAGCACGGTCGATGCATCCAATGCCTTCTCCGCGTACTCCCTGAACTCGGCAACTCCAGCTTTGAGCTGCTCCGATTGTTTGAGGGCATCGGCGATGACGCCCTCGCTGTACGAACGGGCCCCGTCGCCGAGGTTGCGGAGATCAGTCCAAATGTTATCGAGATTATAGCTGGATGACGACGCGAATGTGCTGTTGTTGTTCCACCCGAGATGGAGGGAGGGGAAGAACACGGCAGAGAGCGCGGCCCCGAGGTAGATCGGCAGGCTCACCGCTGCGGTCAGCTCCACCGTGAGGGCAACGATGGAGAGCAGGGGGAGGATGTGCGCTGTTGAGAGGAGCAGCATGGGAAATGAAGAGAGCTCAGTTCGGGCTTCGATTCGAGGGCTGGGATCTTATACAGTACGTACGTAGTCAACCTGGACCGCATTAGCTTTGACTTCTGCCGCTGCACATTTGCAGCCTGACTTCCCCCCGTTGTCATGCAAATCGAGCACGAGGCTACCCTGAAACAAGTGCGGAGAGGTGCCATCGAAGTGCCACTACCGAGTTGGGCACAAGACGAGAGCACTGTTCAGTGTTACGGTATGAAGTGCCTGCCAGTTGTGGTTGATTGACAGCAGCACCGCCACTGCTACTTTTTCCATCGACGACCATGCCTGCCACGAGATTCAACCCGTCAGTCATCAAGAACAAGGAGAAGCGCGAAGAGGTTGCTCGGAAGGCTAAGAAAGCAAAGAACCAACAAAAGCTTCAAAAGCGTCTGGCACAGGCCAAATCAGAGGCCGATGACCCTGCCGCTAAAAAGGTTTGTAGAACTTGCTTGTATGGTTCGTTCCATTCTAGCGACTGACTCAAATACCAGCAACGACTTTCAGAAAATGTTCCGAGGACGCTTGATAACATGCGGGAATTCGATCCCTCGTTTCTTACCGCCGATCCAAGCCAGTCTTCGTCGACCGCCGCAACGCAGGAGGCGCACGCGCAAGACCTAGCAGCCGACCCCTTCGCTTCGTACTTCACTGGCGAAGAAGATCCTTCGATACCCCCCAAAATCTTGATCACCACGGGCCCTCAATCGACGAAGGCAACGTATGCGTTTTGCGACGAGTTGGTCGGAGTGTTCCCTGGGGCGGAATACATCAGGAGGAAAAAGGGCAAGGGGTTCGAGATGGGCAGGATTGCAGGCTGGGCTGCGGGAAGGGGCTACAAGCAGATGCTTGTGGTGAATGAGGATCACAAGAAGCCCAGTGCGTGCGCCGGACCGGCTGATTATGGTGCTCCGTTCATAGCTCATCTCTGGTAGATGCGATAACTCTGATCCATCTACCCAATGGTCCCACGGCTTATTTCAAGCTCTCATCTGTGCAGCTGACAAAAGATATCTTCGCAAGTGCCGCTGGACTGTTCGCGTGCGCATGCGTTCTTACACACACATCTAGGGCCACGCGCGCGCTACGCCGCACGACCCGGAGCTCATCCTGAACAACTTCGTCACGCGGCTGGGCCACGCTGTGGGGCGCATGTTCCAGACAATGTTCCCGCCGCTACCCGAGTTCCAGGGCCGACAGGTCGTGACACTGCACAACCAGCGCGACTTTCTGTTCTTCCGCAGACACCGCTACGCCTTCCGATCCCCGGAGAAGGTTGCGCTGCAGGAGATTGGCCCGCGCTTCACGCTGAAACTCAAGTCGATGCGGAAGGGCATCCCTGCTGTTCAGCGATTTGGGGAGGCGCCGAAACCGTTGGAGATCGAGGTGGGTGATCAAGAGGAAGAGGAAGAGGAGATGGCAACGGAGGAGTTGGCAAAAGATGCCTCGGAATCTGCTGTGGAACCGGAAACGCCTGCTGCGCCAAAGCCTGTGCTGCCACCACAGACAGACGAGTTTTTATGGCAGTGGAAGGTCAGTGACGTTGTTCTTGAGCCCTGTCTGATATTGAATGCCTCCCAGCCCGAGCTGGAGACATCACGGAAAACTTTCTTTTTGTAGCTGTGTTGTCGAACAGTACATCAGGCATCTGCTTCAATCATCGCCGTGTAAACAGATCTGCGCTCGTGATGGCATGCGTTCCTCCAGAAACTCAGGTGTCTGCATTCGATCTGGAATTCCACTGTAGGGTCCAGATAAGACTCCCCGACTCCAGCTTCTTTATGAATCCGCGGGTCTGTGGTGAGACTCGTGTGTGAGACAGTGCGGGAAATGAACGCGGGTTGAGCGCCATAAAGGTGGGTTTGACCATTTCTTCTCACAAAACTTTCTCCTTTTGCTGCTTCTATCTTCCATTTCAAACCCTGAGGTCTTCCTTTTACAATGCCGCAGTCCGCTGCACTTCCCAATCTTACGGGCTCTGTTGTTGACAGCGGGCGCCTCCGTCTTCACTCACTTGTCGGATCCGGAGCATATGGCAAAATCTACAAGGCCGAGCGGACCTCTTCTTCTACGATCTGCGCGGTCAAGTGTCTGCGCCGCCCGAAACACTCGCGCCGGGATGCCAAATTTCAACAACGCGAGGCGACTCTGCATCAGCTTGCCTCGGCGCACGAGAACGTCTTGACGATGCACAGTACCTTCCAAGATCGCGACCATAATTACTTTGTCTTCGACTACATCGCTGGGCGCGACATGTACCGCGCCATTCTGAACGGCCGTTACCGCCGCAACGCGGATCTCGTGCGGAGGGTCTTCGCTGGGATCGTTGAGGGTATCCGCTACTGCCATTCGCAGGGCGTGTATCACCGGGACCTCAAACCCGAGAACATCCTGGTCGACATCGCCGGCGGGAACCCGCGCATCGCTGATTTCGGGCTGGCCACGCACGATCCGGTTTCAGACGACTTCGACTGCGGGAGTCCTGCGTACATGTCCCCTGGTGAGTGAGACAGCCGCGCTACTGTTGAATGTCTCGGTTTGAACTGCGACAGAATCTTTCAATGTGACCTATACCGTGTCCTACCGTCCGCGGGACAGTGATGCGTGGGCGCTGGCGATCATCTTGATCAACATGGTCACAGAAATGAATCCGTGGACCCGTCCTATCCGAACCGATCCGCGCTGGGTTTCGTATCTCTCCGACCCGCTCAACTTCTTGCGTGAAATTGTCCCGATCTCGACACATCTCAACGAGCTGCTAGTCTGTGCCCTCGACCCGCTGCCCGTTCGGCGTCCTTCGCTTCTCGAGGTCCGCAATGAAGTGTTGGGAATGACGGAGCTCTATATGTCGCCGGAGGAACTCAGAACGGCACCCAGCGCAGTCCAGCGCGCTGCCGGGGTCGCCGGGTTAGTGTGTGATGAGAGTGACTGCAGCAGTGCTAGCGCATCCGTAGCCGTACGACAACTCGTCCGGATCCCTGCTCCTGCTTCTCCTCCACGGGCAGAGCCGCAATCTCATCTGTCGGTCGCGAAGGCTCCGCGTCGGGCGTCGACTCCCCGCTCCGACTGCAGCACACCGCAAGAGCTGATCGTCGAGTTTCCGCTGATGCCAGCACCTTCCCCGTCGGCTTCGTCCCTGTCGTCTTCGATTCCCCAGCCGCAAGTTGCGTGGTGCCAAGAAGATCTGGACTGGGAGTTCCGCCAGGACGAAAAGCGACAACGAAGTAAGCTGCGCAAACTGATGGATAAGGTCGGGTCGGTCTTTCGCAAGTGCGTGCTAATGTAGTCAGTGACACTGAGACCGGGTCGCTTATTTTCGACAGGAAGGAGGAAGTGACTGCGCCGAAGGATCTGGCTGTCTGTTGAGCGTCCTCACTTCGTGTAGGTGAGCGTCCTCACTTCGTGTAGGTGAGCGCCATTCTATGTGGATTCAGCGATATCTGATACAAAACCTCGAGTAGTTACGGCTTACTTTGATTCTACTCCACCTGTATGTCACTGGGCGATTTTTCTTCAACTCTTCGTGTCTTCTAAAAGCCTCTCAGGCCAATAATCAATGCAAAACAGATGCTCTTCCGGTTTATGACTGCTCGCATTTGTTTTTGCCTTTTATTCGATTGCATCCCCGTCGTCTTTATTTTGGATTACGATGAAACTCCAAACTATAATACCACAAAACTTCGAATGTCAGACTTTCTACTCCTACTGAGTTCGTCTTCCGTCTTGCTGGAAGGCTTGTGCATATACAGTCACGGCCGTTTTAAAGGGCCCAACCCAAATCGGGAAGGAGCCTGGGAAGTGCCGTCAACTGGCTGATCACTGAAGTTTAGATAGAATCTGGGCCCTTGATTGATGTCTGGGCGGATCCCATTCCCAAAATGGTATAGGACTTCGGGCTCTGTCGGAACGGGTTGATACGGATGATCAGATCCTAATCTTCATTACGGACTTCATGTATGCACGTGTTTTCAAATCTGACACATCATCCCCACCACTACTTGTGCGCTGATAGAACCCCGCGCGAATCACCTAACGCCAACAACTTGCACCAATGAATGAGCCGCCCCCGCCCCCGCCCCCGCCCCCGCCCCCGGACCTGGCGGAAGGATACAAACTGTCAAAGCGCGGTACAGTTGTGAGGAAGTCATGGGGTGGAAACAGGGCAGGATCGGGACGGCCTCAGAAGTCAATTGAGGTTGTCACGAGGAGAGTGGTGGTCAAACGATCCAACCCCGCTCACGATGTTCCTCGACCTCCCAGTTCCCCTCGCGCAAATCCATGGATGTCCGGGTCAACAAGCCTACAGGTCCTGGCCTGGCTGCTGTTGCATCCGAGCTGGTCCCACCGTTGCCACCGCAGATGATACTTGGCAAGAGTGGATTTGAGCTTGTGTCGGGGAATGCCATTGCAGGCCCAAGCGGAGGTCGGTCAAGAAAGCCATGCGTGCGATGTATGGCTCAGATGTGCCCTAAACGGTTGATCTGTGCCAGAGTCGCGAATTGACAGCGCTGCAACTGCGTTCCTGCTCACCCTGATGTACCGGGAAGCAAACACGCCTGTGTGTCTGAAGACACAATTCGAAAACACTTGCGCAATAACAGGATTTGGGATTATGCCGTTGACTAGATGTTTATTGCAGGATTTACAACCTTGTACTCGAGTATATATTGGTGGTAAGAGTAGGATAGCTAGAAGTGTCGAACAAACGAGTGTCTTGATGATAAGATTGATGATCATGGTTGCCGGTGAGTTGAGGGAGCGCGCTATGCTCACAAGAGTGTAAGGACACACGAAGAACATCAAGCCAATATAAACACGCACCATAGAGCATTGGATGGCTGCTCGACCTCCGACTGATATCCTCCAACCGAATCTCCGCTCTATCCCACCCCGTTCTCTTGCTGCGTCAAACCGATGCTCAAAAGTGTTGGGTGTAGTGCAAGTCACAGGCAGCCATGGTTGGTATCGACGCGAGGATGTGGTATGGACGAGTGCGGCCGCGTTGATGAATGGACAGAGTTAGGATCAGGTGACGCGAGATTGAGAGAGCTGGTGCTGGTGTGGAGACGGGACCCAATAGAAGTGAAAAGATGTGCCGGCGCAGTGAGCGAGGAACCCTCGAGCGTGTCCGGCACAAGGGCACAGTTTTGTACAGAGACCGAGAGAGTGAGTGCTTCGCGTGAAGGTGTCACGGTAGGTCACATGGACCCGTGGTCGAGAGCTGGCGGTCGAGACTGAGACACGTGCCATCTTGATTATGAGTGGCTGGGTCCTAAACCAGATCGGGAAACCGTCCCGATTTGGTTCAGGCCTTGAAATCCTATCGGCTACACGTGATCCATTTTCCAAGTTATAAGCGGCAGCAGGGAAACGCTCAGAGCACTGAAATTTGGTATGTAATGAGGTCGTAGGATGTCCATTAATATGCTAATCTCTCCCTTTTCTCTCTTCTTTCCTATCTTGAAAAAACTTGAAAACATCCCAGTCCGCCCAGAGATAGGATATAGGCCAGAATCTGGCCATTGTCCACAATATGTTGTCTGCTTCTGTTTGGATTTAGGATGAATGTATTAGTTTTAGCTAGAATTTGGTGCGCTAGACCTGCTGTAAATATATTTGAGCTGAGGTTGATGGCGCCTTCCTAATTTGGGTTGGGCCTTTTAAAACGGCCGTGACTGTATTATTGCAGAATCTACATTCTGAAACCTAGATTGATAATGGGAATACCGGAAAGTGCGGTTCGAGTGATCTCGACCGTCGCAGGTTTTATGACTCTCAACTGATTCAAGTTCAAGTAAGACCGAGTGGGGAAAGCCTATTCTGATCTTGGTGAGGGGCAATAGGGGATAATCGATAATCAACCATCAACCATCAATTCATCAGCCATCACGTCAATGCGGCAGAGAGTTGCGGAATTTCGCCAATGTCACGCACTGCCGTCACAACGTATTTCTTCGGCCGCCTGCCTGTTCGCCCTGACCGTCGTTGCTGAGCCACTGCGTCCCTGCCTGTGAAACTTTTCGTCTTTACACTCGAGCCTCCTTGTCCATCAAAGTCCTCCACACTTTCCTCCTAACAGGTGCCGCCAAGCCGTTCGGAGACAAAGTTAACCGCGCTCGTGGCATCGCCTTCTCAGCGCATACAAAGCAGTTGCCCCCTCACGGAACGATCACATCTATCATGTTTTCAACGATGCTGCTGCCTCAATCGCTGCTAATCCTCGTGCTTTCGGCCTCTTCCGCTCTTGCACAAGCTTCCTCGTCTTCCCGCCGTGCCAGTTCCACGAGTTTGTCGAGCAGCACGAGCGCGAGCGTCAGCACGTCCTCGGTGGGAACACCGAGTAACTCGGCCGCCTTGCCTTCTTTGAGCGGAGTTCCCGATTGTGGTACGCGTCCTCCTGAATATGCCGTCACCATACCCGTCCCTCATGTCAACCAGTGACGAACTGCCTCGACCTGGCGGCATCCGCCGGTCCGTGCGCGTCTGTGGCCGCGGTCGACTGTTTCTGCATGCAGCCTGCAGCAGCGAACTATACGTCTACGCTCCTGTCGTGTCTGCAGACGTGCCCGCAGGACGTCGCGCAGGCGGAGCGCCTGGCGCAGCAGTTCTGCGCGGCGGCGGCGTCCAGCACGAGCCTCAGTTTCGCTAGCTTCGTCCCTTCGTCATCTCGCTCCTCGTCGGCTAGTCGTAGCAGCGCGAGCTCAGGTTCAAGCGCAAGCGCGACTGCGCCGCCCAGTTCGAGTTTGAGTGCGACCCCTAGTGGAAGCGCGAAACCATCCAGTGCCGCTTCTGGACGAGCAGGAGGCTCTGGTCTCGCTGCAGCGGTCGGTGTGTGCTTGGCTATTGGCGGAGGGCTCTTGGGTGTAGCTGCTGTGCTCTGAGCTTACGGCTAGACTGACGGACCGTTCAACCCCGCGCGTTTCATTGTATATATATATCCTTGTCACCGCGATCGACTCATGCATACCCCCTCCGCTCTCTTGACTTGCATAGACCACCACTTTATCACACTCCTATTGTACGCACGGACCTTCCACACCAACTCGGGCAAACGCATGAACTTCAGATCTTGTAGCTTCTACTATCAGTGACATGATGACAACCACCTGGAGATTTGCGCGGCAAGTGACATCGACAGTCGACGTACAGTAACACGTGCTACCAAGACCTGGTCTGATCCGACTCTGATGGGGTATTCCACTTTTCCCCTACCCGGTGACAAACCATCGCTGGCTACCGGAGGCGCCTGTCCCCAACCATGGCGTCCCCCAACCCGTACGCCTCACCGCCGCTCGCCAGTGCGCCATTTGCCGCACTGCATCTGTACCCCCTCGACGACTCATTCGTCCCAAAACGGATTGCGCTGGGCGGCGGCCAGCGAGTCAAAATCGCGCGGCCGCCGAGCACCAAGACGGCGTCGAACGAGCACAACGGGTTCTTCGACTCGCGGGTGCTGAGTAGGCAGCACGCGGAGGTGTGGGAGGACGGAGGCAAGGTGGGTTTCGCGGCACGCGACTGTTTGGTTGTCCTGAGCGATATATAACTAAAAATATCTCCGTGCGACGGGCAGATTTTCATCCGCGACGTCAAGAGCTCCAACGGGACGTTCATCAACGGGGAGCGGCTCAGTGCGGAGGGCCGCGAGTCGGAGCCGTTCGAGCTCAAGAGCGATGACATCCTCGTCAGTGCCTGTTCGCGGTGTGCGGCTGAATGATGTCTCTGAGCTTCCCTTCCTTTCCTAGGAATTTGGGGTGGACATCGTCTCCGAGGACAACACGACCGTGCTGCATCGCAAGGTCGTCGCCCGCGTACAGTGCGTATTCGGGAACAAACCGGTACCCGGTCCTGGCGCTGGTGCAGGCGCAGGCGCCAACCAGGGCACCCTATTCAACAACGGCCAACGGCGCGGTGCGATTCCCATGATCCACCAGGGCCTCGGTGGCATGGGTGGCAGCACCAGGGTCCCAGGCAGAGGGCTCACGCTTGACCACATCCTCAGCCGCCTGCAAGCTGAACTCGCCAAAAGCCGCGACACCGGCCACGACCTGCACGCGCTGACGGGGACGCTCAACGGCGTCGAGGAGACCCTCAATGGTGGACCGGTACGTGCATAACGCTGTTTCCGCAGTCAGCCAGTATGTGCGCAGAGCTAACTAAACCAGGCTGCCGCAACGGCACCGGCTTTCCCGGATGTGCTTCCCCCTGTCCGACCTGTTCCGCCACCGAAGGCACTATCTGTTCCTTCGCTTCCTACTCAGGCGCCGCCGACCTCGGAAGCTCCTGCCCCAGACGTGATTGCGGAGCTGCAGGCGCAGCTGCGCGAGCAGCAAGAGGCGTTCGCTGTCCACGCAGAGAGTCTGCGGGCCCTGCAGACCGTCCTGGCCGAACAGGAAACGATGAAAGCCGAGGTGCAAGCCCTGCGGGATTACGTCGCTGCGGATCGCGAGAGGAATTTCGATGATAATGATGAGGATGAGGATGATGACGACGATTCGGATGCGCAGAGCATCGTCACTGTGGGTCCCGACCAAGATCTGGACACTCTGGAGGAAGTTGAGGAGCCCGAGAATGAGGACGCCGAGCCCTCTGGCAACGACTTCCACGGCCGTTCCCAGACACCAGAACCGACTATGGAGGAGGAGGATGAATCTGAAGTGCCGCCGCAGCAAGAGCAAGAGCCAGAGCCCATCAAGCCACCTGGGCCAAGTATCGCTGATTTGACCACTCGTTTGGACCAGCTCGCGGCGCAATTAGAGACCGCGTTGGCCACATCCAGCGCGCTGGAAGCGGCCCATGCTGCCGCGCAGCTAACAATCGCGAAACTGGAGGCGAAGCTCGAGCGACTGGAGGCCTTGCCGGCGGAACCGCTGCCAATCCCAGAACCCGTGCCACCAGCTCCGGTGGTGATGCCCCACCCGGATATTGATGAACTGCATGCCGAGTTGGCTGCTGTCCGAGCGGACTTGGCTGCCGAGCGTGGGCAGCGCGATGCGTGGACCGGTGGGCTTGACGAGCGGGTCCGGTTGATGATCCTCGCAGCCGGCAAGGTGACGCAGATCAACGGGGAGGTTGATGGGAATGGGTGGCGCTCGCTGCCCAGTCCGACGAGCAGCCCAACCCACAGTCCCAGGCGGTACAAACGAGACAGCGTGCACTCGCTTCCGGATGCGCAGTTTGAGCCGCCATCGAAACAAAGTGATACCGCGCACGAGTTAGCGAAAAAGGTGGGTTGTCCAGTCGAACTAATTTGTTTCTCGCGATTGACTGTTTGTCTCCAGCAGCCCAAAGCACTGAGCCGGACCGATTTTTCGACGGCATTCGGTGTTTTGATACTCGGATTAGCCGCCGCCGCCGTTCTTTGGCGCGTCAAGCCAGAGTGACCGGGGCGACTGCCCCAACTAACCGAACCTCGCCACAACCTAGTCTCTGATGGAGACTACGCGCGCCCGGCCGCCCTGGATCACAGAGGCTGAAGACACCCCCATCTGCTCATTGTCACCTGGTGATGGTGTCTACACCGCGTGCAGGGTAGAAAACGAAAATGTTACTGACAGAGCTTCCATCGTGCAGTCACCGATGCGGCCGTAGCTCGGAGGTAGCAACGACACGGACGGATATGCGGATGCAACTAATAATTTATCTCTTGTTATTTATGCAAAACTACATGTTGTTTCCGAGGCCACTGGTGCCCACATCTCTCGGAGAGGCAGTTGTATGTACGCAGGGCCAGATCAAATTGCACATACTCTTGTCTCGCGCGTCCGTTCGCACATACGAATCGCGTAGTGGCAGGAACCATTTAGAGATTTTGTTTCTTTCCGCATGCATGTGGATGCTTGATATCTTGGCGCAAGAAGGTGCTGTCAGTTGCCCGGCCAAGCAAACTTGCCGAATCGACATGTGCCGTTACTTAATAGTGAGTGGTTGGTTGCAAGAAGCTGTAAAAGCTTCGATATTCGATGTTCGTACACTGGTCGGATACAATCTTGTTTTTACCATCCCCGCTCGGCCAGCTTGCCTCCTTTGAGGTTCTCGTCGCTGCAATGATCAGAAATGGATCCTCGATGGAATGGATGAACAAGCCCGACATACATGTTGAGGCCCACCATCGCCGGACCCAGACTTTCCGAAACTTCGGCCAGAGTCTTCGGGTTGTTGAAGTGCGTGACTGCTTGAACGATGGCCCTTGCGCGCTTGGCTGGGTCCCCGGCCTTGAAAATCCCGGATCCGACAAATACTGTCGAAGCGGCTCAGTGACTGTCGCCCTCGGGCAGATCGGTCAGGCAGTACCTCCGTCACAGCCTAGCTGCATCATCAACGCAGCATCCGCTGTGGGAATGGAAATGTTCATTATGAGAATCCCTGAGACTTTCGACGAACCTGGAGTAGCGATCCCCCCAGCGGCAAAGCTCACGACTGGAAGCCGCTTCAGTCGAGCCGTTTCCTTGAGCAGATGGAAAGGCGCTGTTTGTCCGTCAGTTCTCGCTTTCCCAAGTCTGCGCATCGCTCGCTACCTTGAATATCCTTGGCGTAGGTGTACAGCTCCTCCTCTGTCATCACGCTAACTTTGCGGATCTCAGACTGCACGGTCCGCGCGTGGCGCACGGCCACGGCAACGTTGCCCGTCCCGGCCTCGCCTTTCGTGCGGATGAATGCCGCGCCCTCGGCAACGCGGCGCAGGGCCTCACCCAGCCCGCGCGCCCCGCACACGAACGGGACCTTGAACGCGTGCTTGCCGATGTGGTGCTCATCGTCCGCAGGGGTGAGCACCTCGCTCTCGTCAATGTAGTCTATGCCCAGCGCCTAGGAGATGTGAGCCTCAGATCGGACGGAAGGTTGTATGCGCCGGCGGACCTGTAAGATCTGTGCTTCGACGAAGTGGCCGATCCGGCACTTGGCCATGACGGGGATCGTCACCGCGTCGCGTATCTCCTTGATGAGCGCGGGATCGCTCTATCGTGGGCATCAGTGGATCCGTAATCGCGGCGCGATAGCACGGAGGCAGGCGGAGCGCAGTACGCACCATACGCGCGACGCCGCCGTCCGCTCTGATGTCCGCCGGGACGCGCTCGAGCGCCATGACGGCGCACGCGCCGGCCTCCTCCGCGATACGCGCCTGCTCAGCGTTCACGACGTCCATGATGACACCGCCCTTGAGCATCTGCGCGAGCCCCGATTTGACCTATCTCAGAACACATTGAGCTGTGCCGCGCGCTCCTGCCGCCAGAGGAACCGCTGACCCCGAAAGTGCCTATGTTCCCCGCCCCGCCGGGCTCACGCGGCGCAGAGCGGACTGGGGCGCTTGGAAGGGTGGGTGTGCCGTTGGTCGACATGGTCAAGATGCAGAATAGTCCTGGCCTTCTGATTTGGCCCCTATTCTTGGAATCGAGTCAGCACATCATCATCACTGACGCTTGTCCTCGAGACATCTGCTATACATGGCTGCTGCTACACATGGCACGGTTACAAACACTAATCATTACAGTCTACAAATATTTCAAGGTCCGTCCGGGTCAAACACAGATCATGATCTATCCGCCTCATCCACGAGCCAGTCGCGCAGGGCCCACACCAGTCTTGTAGCGGCAACTTCCAGAGCCTCATCTTTTCTGCGGGGAACTTCGACGATCGTCCGTTTAAACCGTCCATTAGTCACCATGAGCCCTGCTGAGCGCGTGGAGAACATAATCGAGATCGTTGAAAAGGGAAGTGGAGAAATGACGACTTTCATGGATGGCGGTGGGGGTAGATCCACAGTTCTGGATTTCCCTTTGCCCATCGTCATTCGCCAGAAAGAGTTGTTTGAATTGGTGGATACCGCCAATAGATTGCGGTACTGCGCCGTGAGCACAGCTTGGGATCCCTGCGAGCGCAAGACCACTGATGTTGGCCGTGCAGGGACTGAGGAAGAGGATTCGCCTGTAGGTCGCAGGAGATCGGAGGTAGACGCCGCCGGGGACCCACTCCTTGTTTGGCTGTCCACATAGATAACACCTTCGCCCACACCGTAATCTCGAACCAGATCCTCCAGCCGACTTCGCGGCTGCATCCGGTCAAATAAGTCGCGAAATGATTCTTCCCTTTCGAGGTGGAGGGAAGATTCGTCTAGCCAGACGTCTTCTCGCACTTTAAGCGCGATGTACAAATCAAGAACGACTGTTTCACGCTGCAAAGTCCCAACAGGGGATGACGAGCGCATAGACAGAGAGTTGGAGTGTGGGAAGGGATCCGAAGAATTAGGTCTTCGGATGAGGGAATCATAAAGAGGCAGATAGACGGAACGCAGGACGTTCATAGACGCTGCGGATGCACATTAGGTCAACGCGACAGCACGGTAGCAAGGACGCAGCTCACTTGTGTAGAAAAGTCGATTCACGAGCCGCAAGCCTATTGTAAGCCAATACAGTGTCTTGCGCTGCTCCACTGCGTCTTCGATTTCGTACGCCTCAGAAAACGTCGCGTATACGATCTGCAGGAGCAGATGCGGCGGTAGCGCGGAAAAGGTCCTCCACGCCGTGGCTGGCGTCGCCTTGGTATATGGTGGCGGAGGGTTGAGGGCCTTTTCGTCGACGATCATGTTGCCCGCGATTGGAGAGAAAGCCAAGTCAGGAAGTGGGCGGTGCAGATGTCAGGACTATTTGCATAAGATCATGCGGACTGCGGGACTGCGGGGCACGGGATGATCGACTACGCAGACCTGCTGCGTTTGATGGAGTGCGTTTGTGATGAGAAGCACTCGCTCCTTCTGGGATGAAGGGATGACCAAAGGGATCCTGGACCGTGAGGCGGAGTTCAGATCGGATTGATGCGTGTTAGAACATGTGAACGATCGTTGGGAGTCATAAAGTTACCGGATCCTTCCTCACGTCTCTCAAGTTCCGCCGATTTTTTTTTGGCAGCGCAGACCCCCTGGTATCTTTCTTTCCCGCATCCATCGGCAGGCGCATCGACAGTCTTTTGAAGACCGAACCGTGCAATCACTGAATATTGAATGGTCAACGTCCCCGCTCTAGGTTCTCTTCTAGGACGCCCTAGATCCAACTTCCGGCTGTAGAGGGTATTTGTGCGAGGTAAACCATACAACAACATGCATACCTTGTGACTGAAGACCTTGCTTCTCAGAACTCAACTTACTTAGCTAGACCGGGCATCCCTGGTTGTCCCCGGTCGGTTAACTCTTCGAGTTTCGCACACGTTTCTCTTCTTCACTCCCCTCCAATTTACGTAAATCAGAGGTTCAGTCTTCTACGATCTGTACTTTTCGCTCGGCTTAGACTTTACCTCCAGGGCGTCCCTTTCTCAACGCAATCATGAGCTCACCACCAGGAGACGAGGACGCGCCAGTTTTTGTGGCTTCCAGCTCGCCCATTTCGATTCGCGGAGGCTCTCCTGTACGCCGACGAACGACCAGTGTGTCCCATAGCGAGAGCGACGTTGCACGTTCCCGGCACTCCCCTACCATCAGCCGTTCCGTGGACCCTAACGACCCGCTGGCGAGGGAGCGGCAGAGAACAATGGATGTAGACATGGCGATGCAGCTCTCCCGAGCACGAAGAGAGACACTGCCAGACACCACCTCCGACTCCACTTTCCCCGCGCTGTCGCCACAGGAGCAACGTGAGATCGACATGGCGCGAGGGGAACTAGAGGAGCGTTCGCGCGTGCTAGACGCCGAGCTGGGGAACGTTGCAGAGCCAGTCTCTTTCCTTCAATCACGGCTCATGTCAGCGCACGACCCCGCCATGATAGTCCACGAATCACAGCATCTGCGGGCCATGCAGTCCACCTCGTTTGGACTGCCCACATACCAGGCGAATGTGTCTCAGTCCGAGTTTGACTTTGGTCCGATGGACGAGTTTGCTCGGGCTGAGAAGGTGGTTCTGGATCAGACGAAACCCAAATTCTCGCTGAATGCGCTGAGGGCAAGGACTGTTGCCCCTGATGAAGAGGATATGGCGCAACCGCAGGAGGGAGGGGAACCATCGGCGCCACCGCGTCGCAAGCTGAGCGAGAGCAATCCTAGGCCGAGACACCCTCGCAAGACCGGTGGCAGAAAGATGGCAATGTTCGAAGGAAACAGCAATGGCGATCTTCCCCCGTTCACATTTGACGGTGGTGCTCATAGCACGTCCGGAATCCTCAACACGGGACATGACAGGCCATACCGATTTTCTTTCTACTCAAATGCCATGTCAGCCACGATCCACGCGCGGAGCCTGAGCGAGCTGCCAGCCGAGGGCCAGTCTTTCGGTGATCTGTTCTCTGGCAATCTTCCGGCCCCCGGTGGAATGGCCAGGGACCAAACGCGGCCGGGGCCTTCGCCTTTGATCAACGAAAAGGCACCCAAGCAATCGAATGGCAAGGCACCGGTTGGGGATCATCCTCGCCGCAGCGGTAACGATCCAGAAACCAATACTTGGTGGCTGGATATTCAAAGTCCTACGGACGACGAGATGAAGATGCTCAGTAAAGTATTCGGCATCCACCCTTTGACGACAGAGGATATCCAGATGGAAGAAACGCGGGAGAAAATTGAGCTTTTCCGCAACTATTATCTGGTTTGTTTCCGGTCTTTCGACCAGGATCAGTACAGCCCGACCCATCTTGAGCCGTTGAACATGTACATCATCGTTTTCCGCGAAGGAACGCTCTCATTCCACTTCCGTCCGACACCTCACCCACAGAATGTGCGCCGGCGGATCAAACAGCTCAAGGACTACATCAGCGTCACCTCGGACTGGATTTCGTACGCGCTCATCGATGACATAACCGACGCATTTGGGCCTCTCATCCAAGGGATCGAGTATGAAGTCGACAGTATCGACGAGCTGGTATTGATTCTGAAGGAGGCGGAGCAAAGCGACATGTTGAGGAGGATTGGGACCTGCAGGAAGAAGGTTATGGGTCTTTTGCGCCTGATGGGGAACAAAGCCGATGTCGTGAAGGGCTTGGCTAAGCGATGCAACGAGCATTGGCGTGTCGCGCCCACTTCGGACATTGTGCGTCCTTCCTCACTCTTTCATCCAGCCTTATGCTGACGAGGCGATTAGGGCCTCTATCTGTCCGACATCCAAGACCACTTGATCACAATGACTCAAAACTTGAATCACTACGAAAAGATTCTGTCCCGGTCGCACTCGAACTATCTGGCTCAAATATCGATCGAGATGACCGATGCGAATAACCAGATCAACGATGTCCTTTCGAAGCTGACTGCGCTTGGTACCGTGCTCATCCCTATGAACCTCGTGACTGGTTTATGGGGTATGAATGTACACGTTCCTGGCCAGAATGTGGAAAGCTACACGTGGTTTATCTCGATCATCGCTGGACTGGCCGCGTTTGCTATTATTGGAGGATACTCTACTTATAAGTTCATGGTTAATCGGCAATAGATTGTAACATACATGTCCTCATTCCTTGTCGGTATACGAATCCTTGATGACTGAAAGGTTTCTCATCAAATTGTGAGTCTCCATGACTTTTTTCAAAAGACCCCACTGAGCGCCTATTCTTGTTACGTAGGCGTAGTGTTGACCAAGCATCTAGGGTTAGGGCTCGGAAGTTTGCGTTTACCCCATTCGAACATTACGATCGGTATGCTGCGCGTCAAGCAGAGTGAGCAAAAATAGAGCATCCACAAGGTCTGGTAGAGGCCACGAATCCAAAAGAAACGCTCTAAATTTGGGATTCATGGCACCATGGGACGTTGCGCATTGTGGTCTGTCTCAGTTGACACAAGAAACCCAATATGGATACCGATTCTAGAATTCTGCACGTGAGAGCGGAGATTGAAACGACTGTAACTCTCCCCTCGTCCACCAGCTGCAGCTGCCGCCACAATATACCCGGGTGCTCAGAAAAACCCACTGACGCCTGGGACCGACTTCTTGATTATGAGCGCCGATTCTCGACCGTCTGCGACTCCTCGTGGAACTCCCTCGAGGCGCGGCAAATCCCCTGCCACTCCCAGTCTTGATTCGAAGCCCCCAAATTGGCCATCTCCACATAATATTCCCCAAGACAGCCCCTCCTCTGCCACACCTCGCGGCAGTCCGTCCCGGAGAGGGAAATCTCCTCGCGTCGCGCCCGCGAGCTCGGCATCGCATCTAGCGCCGCCGTCGGATAAATCCACGAGCGCCTTCTATTCTTGTATCCGGATCCCAGTCGAGGGTGCGGTCCCAATAAATCCTCCTGATAAAGAAGAAACGCTCTCTGCGCAGACGGAGCCGGTTTCAGGCAGGGCGCCGCGGAAGTCGAAGACGGATGCTCTGCAAGCCATCAAGACGGGACATAGCGCCGGGGCCGGGGAGACGGATGAGGACGAGGGCGAGGACGAGAGGAACGATGTATGGG